TCCACAGTTCCCACTTTGGAGGGCTGTGGTGAGATTTAAACAACATCTGAACACAGGCAAAGGCCCAGAAAACTGCATTCACGCAATAAATGATGGCTCCTGTTATAACTCCTCTCCTAGTGAGCAAGCGCATGTTGATCTTAACTTAATCTTAATTTAATTTATACTAATTATCTCTGTAATTCACTGGCCCCAAGTTCATAGTAGACACTATATTTATCTGGCTTGATAGTAATTTGTACAGCCCATCACACCATTATCATAACTGGGCTGTCAAAAATTAAGTCTAGTCCATGGAGAGGCTGCCATTGGGTAGCCTCAGGTTTGCTGCATTTGGCCTATGCAGTGCTTTAAAAAGGAAGAACCAGCCTGCCTTAGCACACACTTCAGTTTCCTATCTGGCCTTGTAAATATCTGAGTTTGCAACCCCTGGTGAGAGGCCGATAACCAATATAAACTCTATTCTATGCCTATGAATGATGTCTGGGTGGTACTCGCATACCCCCTCCCATCACCAACTCTGGTTTTCTTACCTCTCTTAAGTCCTCGGAAGATCCTGATTCTGACCTAGAATAGGGAATCATAGTCACTTTAAGTCCAGTCTTTGTAAGGGCCCTGTGGGAGGCTTGCTTAGCTAGGTCAAAGGAAGGGGGAAAGAAGTCAGGGTTAAGGCCGGGGTGGCTGAGTCGTGCCGATGGACACCCAGCACGCATTTGATGGGCATTCCTTTCCCCATAGGGGCTTCTCTGGCAGGAAGCTTTTCCTAGCTTACACCGAGTTTTCTTCCCCCTGATGGAGAGTTGTCCCTTCTGAAGCCTAGGGCTTCTCAAGTTACTATACTCCTGGCTTACAGCCAGGGGCTTCCTAAAGGGGTCACCCTTTTTACAGAATTAAGAGGCCATGAGGTGACCCAACTACAATTCATAGATTAGGAAAATAAGGCCCAGGAACAGGCCTGTGTCCAAAGGGTCAAATACATGCATCAGAGCCCTAACCAGTTTGACTCGGTGGATGGAGCATTGGTCTGTGGATTGAAAGGTCCCAAGTTCAATTCCGGTCAAGGAATGTACCTTGGTTGTGGGCACATCCCCAGCAGGAGGTGTGCAGGAGGCAGCTGATCGATGTTTCTCTCTCGATGCTTCTAATTCTCTATCCCTCCCCCTTCCTCTCTGTAAAAAAATTAATTAAAACATATATTTTTTTTAAATGCACCAGAAGGGAAGCAGGAGGGCCTAACTGTCCACTTCCTACACCTCCCCTGACACTGCCCTCTGATGCCCTCTGAGACAGGACTTCTTTGGGAGAGGTGACAGAACCCTCCTCACAGTAGCAGAGGGTCAGGGGAGAATGTGTAGAGGTGTGTTCCCTGGAGCTCAGATCTGAGAATATAAATGACATGTTTCCACTGGATCAGTGGCACCTTCATGGAAGATGGGAGCTAGTGAGTTCACTTCTTTAGCAAGTCCCACCAGCAGGAACGGAGAGGATGGCAGGGGAATAGCCAGGAAGGAGTCAAGCCCCACACATACCCAGAAGAGCAAATGAGCCAGCTTGGCTTGGCAAAGGGCTCCTGGGGGAGGGGAGGGGAGGAAGAGTGGGAGAGAAGAGAAAAAAGAAAAATGGAAGTAGAATGTAGCATTTTAAATTACCTTGCCAGGGAGGCTGAATAGGATGAAAGGCAATTATGGACATTCATCAACGAGAGAGAGAGAAAAAGCAGGGGGTGGGGGGACTGAACACTGGCCAACAGAGTCCTAACCTAACAGTGTCTTGGCAGCAGCTCAGATGTAAGGACCAACAGAGAAAGATGAGCCAAAGGAAAGGAGATTTGGAAGCCAAATCTCAGGGTAATTGAGGGAAATGCCAGAAACATTTCTAGAAAAGGAAGCAAAGAAGGAAAGTAGCCTAATGCATGTTATCCTGAACTGTCCAATTAGAAATAAAAAAATAAAATTAAAAAACCAAATACCTGGAAATATGGGACTAACACTTGAGGAGTGGCTACTTTTAGAGACAGAAAGAGGAGAAACAGACAAAACAGAATGAGTCAGCGAGGAGGATGGGATGCTCCAAAGTGAGCCAAGATAAGAAAACGAAAAGACCAGAGAACATGGCCGTTAAAGGTCCCCAGTGAAAAAAAGGCTGCAGAAGTGGACTTCTAGTCCACTGCTGTTAAGCATGCGTGTGTTAGCACAAGCACAGAGAGCTCCGTGTGTAATGGCAATTATTTCTGGCAGGTGAAATTACAAAGGATTTCTAAATCTCTATTTTTTAATTCAGAAAAGGTCCATGACAATCTTTAAAATTTATTTCAATGGTGGGTGGCTATTTACTTTACTAACCTGTGAAAGACCACGGTACCAGAATAATTGCTGCAGCACTGAGCATAGTGGCAAAAAATAAAGTGAATGGCTATCAGAAGAGGGATGTCTGAAAAATCAGTACACCTGTACTCAGATCCTCACCCAAGCACTCAGAGGAGGAGCCTCCAGCAAACAATTAGGAGGAATTTCCATGAGATACAAATAACTAAGGAAAGATGCTAAAGAGTACACGTATGTTACCAATTTTTATACAAGAAAAAGAGGTATGTTTATACAAATAAGGACACTGTGCACACACACATTATGCACACTTCTAGTGGACTAGAAGTCCTATTTGTAAACAGGACTACCCTTAATAATTATGGGAGTAAGGCCAGGGAATATAAGTCCACAAAGCAAATCTCAACACTTTAAATGTCAAGTTAATATACTATTGAATAAAATATTCTATCCTCCTACCTTGATGAATACACTTTCAAAATAACCTGGACAACCAGTTTCAAATTTAGAATTCTTGAAACTCCTCAGCTCAGTGCCAGAATTTGGCAGTGTGGGGAGAGCCAGCCACTAAGCTCCCTGCCCCCCGCCCCAAAGCCCTCTCTGTCCTGCTCAAGGGGCTTATGGATGGTGGCATGTACATAGACACCCCAACCCAACACCCACGCTGACCTCCCCATCACCTACACCGCTCCACAGCCACCTCAAGCCGAAGGCGAGCTGCCTCAAAACGGATGCACTGGGAAGCAGGCACCCACAGACCCTGGGATCAGGTTCAAAGACATTTGGGTAGAAAATACCAGTAGGTAGAGCTGTGGGGGAGGGGAGCCTCTGGCTGGTCATATCCTCTTGGCCCCCAGGGCTCTTTAACAGGTGGAGAGGGAGGTGGCAACCCACCACCTTCTTGTCTGGGTCTAAGAGAGGGACTGTACTGTCAATATGTTCAAAGTCACGAGTACAAGAGAAAAGCAGGGAAGGACACACACTAGGTGTCGATTTGGGTTATGGGGAGTTGGGGGCTAATGTGGCAAAAGGTGAGCAAAGAATATAGGAATACAAAAGAGTCTGCGCTAACGAAAGGCACGTGTATCATCACATTTATATAAAGCAGGAAAGCATGGGTAAGTTTGAAGGAAATAAGCATGTTTTGTTTTGCCTTAAAGTCTTGTCAGTTAAAGTAACATCACCAACGAGGGAGCAAAAGGGCACCTCATGCCTCCTGGTCACCTGCGCATGTCACCTGAATCAAGTCAGGAGAAATTAGACAAACCGAAACTGCAGGCCATTCTACCAAATAACTGGGCTTTACTCTAAAAATGTCAGTGCCGTGAAAAACAAAGGAAGGCTAAGGAACTGTTCCAGATTAAAGGTGTCTAAAGAGAGCCAACAACTAAAGGCAATAACCCGAATTGAATCCCAGACTGAGGAGGACGTGAAAGGGGGGACTCTAAAGGCTAGAGTGGTCAATGGAGATAAAAAGGGGACATATGTAATAATTTCAACAATAAAACAAAACAAAAACCTCTAAGGACCATAGTTGATAGCTGTGAGTGAGCTCTACATTCTCAGATATTACTGAATTAACATTCCCTGCTTTTGGCTGTTGGGCGGTGGTTATACGGGAATATCCCTGCTGTTAGGAAATAATATACTTGAGCATTTCAGGGTAAAGGGGCGGCGTCTGATTTATTCCCAATGGTTCAACAAAATTATATGACAACAAAGCAAGTATGGCAAAATGTTCACAATTAGCCAATATGGGCAAAGAGTTCTTTAAACCATTCTTACATTATTTAGAAAATGCTCATTATTTCAAAACTATATATATAGTTTTGAAATAATGAGCATTTTTTTTTTTTTAGAAAAATGTTTTTAATCAGAAGAGAGAGAACTCTATGTTCATGGACTGAGGCAACAAGTGGAAAAACATATTGGTGGAGGGCAACAGAGATACCCGAGATAAAAAGGAAAAGAGTAAGAAGCCAGAGATAAGTAATCCTCCAATACTGGAGAGAAGGAAACTTCAGATGTAGAATTAAATTTCTCTTTAGAATAGAGAACGAGTAAGATCAGGAAAGCCAACCCCACTGGCCTAAATCTATTCCCTAAAGTTTACCTGCTCTGGGGCAGGAGCCAGGAATGTACAAACCTGGACACAGGAGTGGAGCTTGAACAACCACTAGCACCGAACACTAGGGATGGAAGGAGAATAACTGGGCTGTTGAGTAAGTAGTTTTTAAGAATCTGTGGAGGCAGTTGACTTAAGGACAAAGACAGGTAAAGCTGTCCTGGAAATGGGTAAGAAATGCTCTCCTGTTCGGCTTTTGATCTCAGGCAAACGTATGTTAGGGCCCAGGTATACAATCTTTTAGAAATTACTTTCCCCCAAGCCCTTACTCACTCTATACCAAAAGTATCTCCCCAGTAATAGTTGAAGGGCACATCTGACAGAAGCTGGCTGGTTTTCCCCTTCCCTTTCAAGAAAGACATCTTGGCAGCTGTCCCTGTATCCAAAGCAGCTCCTCTCGGAAGTCGCCGGGGAACTCAGGGCTTCCACCTCACTGCGGAGTCAGCTGGCCGCGCTGAGAACCAGGGAGGGAGACGGAATTCCATGTGCAGAACACAAAAGGAACAACAGAATCCATCCCACGAACCATAACAACACTGCCATTTTTCGTTCAATTTGAGACAATCTTTTTGTAAACGAAGTTGAACTTACAGCAGACAGTGACAGGAGCCACAGCACACATAGCCGGGACAAGCATGAGTACAAGATGTCCCATGGGACAAATACAGCACAGAATGCCCGCTCTCATAGAAGATGTGGAAATGCCAGGAAGCCTTGTTAAAGCAGGGTTCACCAAAACCAAAAGGCCAACTGGCCCCCATAGTTGGGACAGGAAAGGGCACAGCAGCTCTCGAAACATGCCCTCTGCGTGAGTGGCAATTCTTTGAAAAGAAGGCTACAAGAGTATGTGAGATGGGGGTCCTACAAATGCAGACTTCAGAGCAGGCCTGGAATTGGTGTAGCATTAGTCACTCGGTCCATGGCACAATACAGCAGGATAGGTGGGCCAAAGGTCTCTTGGGGAATTTCAACCAGGGACATGGAGTCTGGACTTAAAAGATATCCAGCTAATTCGCATTTCATATCTGGACTTAAAAGATATCCAGCTAACTCGCATTTCATAGTGACCTACGTGTTACTGACATGTAACTGATCACCACACAAGACACTCCCCAAAGGAGACCACCAACATACAGGAAAAAATTCTGCTCCCATTTCATCAATAAAAAAAAAGATTTTGTCACATTGTAGAACACTAAAAGTAGAGTGGTTCAATGAAATGTCATAAAAGATACAGGTCTTTTAAATCAGTTTTACAAAACTAGGTCTTAGTAAGCTAGGGGTATTTATTTTTAAAAAACAAGGCCGATGGTCCTACATTTGATGTTTACCAGTGTGGTGTGTGTTTTGGCTCAGTGCTTTCATTTCCAATTCAATGTTATCATTTCTATTCACAGCAGTTCCTGCATTTATCAGTATTTTTATAAAGCTAACTATGCTAAATTCTGTCATAATAAATACACTTTTCCTTCCCTGGCACAAAACATGAGAAAAAGAGGAGAAATAGTAAGATGCATTCTTTTAGGTAAGGAAAAGTTCAGAACACTCCCACCTAAAAAGAACGTCAATTTAAATAGAATTTAAAAATTAGGAGGGGAGGGCATTTGGAAGAAAAATCTCCCAGATAAACCTCTGCACAAAAGTAATTCTGAAAAAAAGTTGCAAGACTAGTTCGGGGATCAACTGCCAATCCCAAGGAGATTCCGGTCCCTAAGAGGGACAGCTATAGCTGCCATAAGTCATCTGCCCTAGAGATTCTTACAGAGTAATTATCCAGCAAACCTATTATTCTCCTCCCATCCCCAACGTGTGACGCGAGGGCTGCAGGGAGAAGATACAGGTCCCTACTCCGGGGAAGGCACCTCCACTCCCCGCAGCAGCAATGCCAATATTGTCCTCTCCAACTCTACCACTGTGGGTTTTAAAACATTAATGCCTGTATTCTAATATACAATTATATGTTAATATTTCTCAATAAAGTTTAAAAAACAAACTATATCCTCAACAAACTATTTCCTTTTGCAGGCTGCAGCAAACTGCAGGGAGAACTTTGCCAATACATCCATCTCTAATCGCCGTTTACTGCAAGGATCTAATTTTTCAAAGTTTGTAATACACAACTTGGATTGCTGAATAGTTTGTGAGAATTTGTAGGGGCAGATGACTTTAGGCCAAAGGCAGTTAAAACTGTCATAAAAATGGGTAGTCCTGTTCAGACTTCGATCTCAGGCAAACATGTTAGCCAAGAACAGAGGCTTTTTCCTTTACAAACACAAACAAGACCGACTTAAAAATGCTGTAATTCAAGAAAAAAGGCAGATTCTCCATGTGGCTACTTACCTATCTCCTCTCCCCAAAGAAAGAAAAGTACTTCTTAAAGATGAGAGGTGAGGGGGACAGAGAGTTAAAAATTCTTGGGAAACTTTTAAAAATAATTATTTCATTTGACATTGAATTATTATTTCATTTCTCACCCATTAAAAATTGGCAGGGAGGTGCACACACAGGGACAAACTGGGACAGCCTATAACTACCTGTAGTAAAACACACAAATAGTTTATTCCATTTTTCCAAGCAGCATTTAAAATATCAAAGTAAAAACAACAGTCATATATAATTACACATGGTTAATTCTCACACTATTTTGTAGAAAAACATATAAAATACCCCCTCCCCCAAATGTCAATATTAGGTTAGAAACCTTTAGAATGCTAAAATCCAGACAACCTTGAGGTATGCTTAAAATCAAAATATATAAACAGGCTCCTTTAGGAGAAATATAAATAGCAACATGATAAAACACCTGTGAAACAAGCAAGAGAGAAAAGAAATCTGAAGGTCACTCAAGCTGAAACGAGGATGAATCATGACAGACCTGGGTACAATACATCTAGATTCTTGCACTAACGGCGATTAGAGATGGATGTATTGGCCAAGCTCTCCCTGCAGCTTGCTGCAGCCTGCAGAAGGAAAGCCAAACGTTATTTGTTGAACCACTTGTTACTTCTCCTGTCAAAGCCTCTTCTTTTGGAGACACTTTTATTAAAACACAAAAGCTATACACTTTGCAATTTCATTGTCAGTGAGAATTTTTTCAAAATTTCTCATGTAAAATATATGTAGCTGATGCTGAGAAACAATGGCCTTTGAACCTAATTGTCCTTCAACTGATGAAAATTGGCCTCCAGAGACAACAGTTGCCAGAATTAGGCACTCCCCCACTCTTTCCTGGTCCAGTATCCTATTGGCTTTTATAAACAGAAGTAATTTTTTCTGGCTCAGAAGGGAGGAAAGAGGAACCTCTCACTGAGCCAATGAAAAGCTGTGTTCTGCAGACCAGAGATACACGACCTGAAAGAGGACACTGCCTCAGCTCCTGGCCCTTGGCCTCCTGACCATGAAAGTCTCCCTCATTCATTCTGGTAAGGTCAGAGGGCTCTAGCCTCACGCTCCCGTTATATATTCTGTCTATCCACTTGTATGCTTATTTAACCTTGGACTTGACTTGTCTTCACTACAAGTTGTGAATCATTCCTTAAGACTGAATCTTAGAAACTCAACTCTGTTCCCAGTGGGAACTAGTAAAAGCCACTGAGCCAGCTTTGTTAAGACTTTCCCTGATGGACTGAATCTCACCTACCAGCTTCCCAAATCTCATTCTACCACCAAAACTGAAAGTTGAAGACATCAGTAAATAGAATAAATTACTCTCCCTCCTCTTCCTCATACCCATGTCCATCCTATCTCCACCAGTAATAATTCCTGCAGACTGTGAAAACCAAAGTAAACCAGGAAAGAGTTAAGGGATTTTTTTTAATTTTTTTTTTGAGGTAAGACACAGAATTCCAAACTGCTGACATATCACTTTGCAATTTTAAATCTCTCTCTTGATACAACATTCTCTAGACTTTGGTGGCTAACCTGGTTTGCTTTCAAATGGTCACAGGACAAAGATTTGCCTCTCTTCATCTGCAAAAATATGTCTGTAAGGCTATCTTCTGTTTTGGAAGGCAGCTATGCTCAACACTATACCACCAACGCGGACTATCTTCTGTTTTGAAAATATTTTTATTGACTTCAGAAAGGGAGAGAGACATCAGTGATGAGAGAGAATCATCCATCGGCTGCCTCTGCATGCCCCATACTGGGGATCGAGCCTGCAATCCAGGCATATGCTTTTTCTCACACACACACACACACACACACACACACACACACACAATTTAAGATCTTAAGATCCTGGATTGAGGGGCCAAGAAATCTGACTCTATGCTAGACCTGCTTACCTAGATAACCAAAATAATAAAGCTATTTGACTACAAACTCAACAGAAAGTTTCTATGCTCCAAGAACTAAGGTAACATTACTTTCCAATTCAGATTAAGACCATCACAATCTGGCTTAAGTCTTCGGGTTAATGGTTCTAACTATAGTTAAATTCGATGTGAAAGTACGGAAACCCTCCCTGGGCTTTCTTTCAGACTAGGACTCTGCATTCTCAGGTATATCCTCACATGGGAAAACTATGTGAAAAATACCAAGCATCAGAAATAAATATGAACTCATCTGGTTTTAAAATTTTATACGTGGAAAGTATGAATTCAAAAGTATGACATATTGCCCTAGCCAGTGTGGCTCGGTGGATAGAGCATCAGCCTGCAGACTGAATGGAACCCAGTTCAATTCCGGTCAAGGGCACATGCCTGGGTTGCAGGCTCGATCCCCAGTAGGAAGCATGCAGGAGGCAGCCAATCAATGATTGTTTTTCATTATTGATGTTTCGCTTCTTTCCCCTCTAAAATCAATAAAAATGTATTTAAAAATAAATAAATTTTTAAATATATTTTATTGATTTTTTACAGAGAGGGAGAGGGATAGAGAATTCAAACATTGACCAGCTGCCTCCTGCACACTCCCTACTGAGTATGTGCCCACAACCAAGGTACATGCCCTTGACCGGAATCAAACATGGGACACTTGAGTCTGCAGGTCGACGCTCTGTCCACTGAGCCAAACCAGTTAGGGCTAAAATAAAAATGTTAATAAATAAATAAATAAATAAATAAATAAATAACCTATTCACTTGAAATCAAGAGCAACAGTCAGACCAGCAAAATGACTGGTCATTCACAAACACTGACCACAGGCTCAGGTTCGGCTTGCTTCAAAGCAATTACTCCCACTCTGTTAACAGCGGTCAGATTTAGGTCACCCACATACTTGCAAGCTAATTTGATATAAGTTGGCCAGGCTTAATTCCTAGGTATTATTTGCGGACTATAGTAAACTATGGTAAACATCACAAAAGGAGTTCCTCATTCCAAATCTTAAAACAATCCTTAAAGAAAAACTTCTCTATTCTCTGGTTGTAGCAAAAAAAAAAAAAAAAAAAAAAAATGCTTCCTTTCAAACACGGTATTATACTCTTAAAGAAAAATGCAATTTTTTAAATCCATGAATCTTCATTTAAAAGAAAATAGTTGAGTGTGTTTAGACCTTGATCTCACTTGGAAAAAACAATGAAAATCATTGTCTGAAAAGTGAAAGGAGCATGGCTCATCAATACCACCAAGCTGAAAAAGAAACATTAAAAGATCCTATTACTTATTTTACAAATACTCAAAGCCTGTCTTAAGGAATCCTGATTTTTCAAAATACAAAACTCTGCCCTGCCAAGACCAGTTTGGCTCAATAAATAGAGTGTCGGCTTGGGGACTGAAGGGTCCCAGGTTGGATTCCAGTCAAGGGCATGTATCTTGATTGCGGGCATATCCCCAGTAGGGGGTGTGCAAGAGGCAGCTGATCGATGACTCTCTCATATCGATGTTTCTGACTCTCTCCCTTCTTCTCTGTACAAAATCAATAAAATATATTTAAATAAATAAATAAATAAAAATAAATTTAAAGAAATAAAAAATAAATAAAAAACCTCTGCCCTAAGCTTTTCTGATCTAGAAACAAAATTTCAGATTGGATCTGAAGAACCCATGCAGGGCCATCTAATGTCATAGTTGCTCTGTCAGCTCATTCTGATCCCAAAAAGCACCCGATGAGGGAAGCACTTCAACATCATCATCCCTGTTTGCAGGTCAGAACAAGAAGAGAGGTCAATTAGCTCAAAAGTCAGAAAGCTAGGAGCAACCTAGAAGGACTAAACCCCTTACCCGCCCACCCCTGCCAGAATCGGACTTTAACTTGCAGGTATATACAATATGTAAGGGCAAAGTACAGGGCTGAGGACTACATCAAGGCCAGGTCACTTGAGGTACAGAGTAAAAGGCAGATTTTTAATGTCCTGACTTGAAATTTCTGGGGATGGACTGCAGAAATATGTTGCCGATCAAGTTCCCCAGGTGATCCTGAAGACTATCAGTTTGAGGACCACCAGCATGAATGAATCCTAAATCCAAGCCAGAAAACCTATTCTAAATCAAGCCTAAACCTATTTGTTTACCTATCCTCCATGCACTACAGAACTTGCCAAGCAAACTAAGCAGCTTATTCAAATTTACTGTACAGTGACCTAACCTGAGTCAGTCACAGCGAAAGGCTTTATGTGTCTCAGCCTAAAGAGCCAGGTCAATGGATTTAGGTCAGAGGTACACAGTTTCGGCTTCACTCTTTCCAAGTTAACCTCTCAGTTGGCATTACCCAACAGTATCTTCACAAATTCCATACGCTCCTGGAGGTATCTTCTTTTAGGTTACCAACACATAAGGCGTCAAATTCCTTCTGAAGATGTATACATAGCACCATTAATTTCTAGATGAAGTAATGTGGGTGTAACCCTAGTCAAAATCATCAAATTGGGTTTATATAATGTCCACGTTGTGGTAGGTACTCTCAAGATCATACAAAAACTGCCCTCTTCCCATTAACTTATTTCGTATTGAAAATAGGAGCAAGTCTCCTTTTGAATTCATTTCTTACAGGAGAGAATTTTAAAAAGGAGAAAAAAATGGTGAAATTTTTCATATTTATTTTATAGCTTAAGATTGTGCTCCTGACATCTAAAATATACTTTCAAGAAAAAAAAAAAAAAAGAAAGAAAGAATCTCCCCATGGTCCTGCTGTATATCTCATGAGGAAATAAACCAAAAAGGCTATTTTCATAGGAGTTTGGCCAATCCTTGACTTCTGAAAGAACTCTCTCACAGTATTATGAGTATTTACAACAGCAGGAGGCTGAAAAATACAATGTGAAGAATAGAGGGGAAGAAAGAAATAGGCTGAGAAATAAGCACATTTGAAAAACAGTGAAAGACTTTTAAAAGACCAACACTAATTTAAGAAAGAAGTATCAGTACCTTATCATTTGAACCTAAAAGAACACATACCAGGGCAAGACAAATTTCAGAAGACATGACACTCTTGAAATACAGAATTTTATTTAGAAACTGCTTAAAGTAAAAAACAAAAACAAAAACAAAACCCTGTCAAGAAAGACCAGGTGGAAAATGGGTTCCCAATAAAATGGAATTTTAGGGCAACAAAAGTCTAAAGGCCACAAAAGAGAAATAGCACCACTGTTATTTGAACAATGGCTAGTTACTTGCATTTTTGGCATTGTTAATCACTGAATCTGGGTTTCTCTCTGAATTTCACACAGAGCATGCACTACACAACAATTTATTATAAAATACCTGCTTTCTACACACATTTTAGACAAACTACCACCATCAACAAATCAATACAATTACATCAGGGGCTGAACAAGCTCAGTAGTGGGTGACACACATTTTGCAGAATTCTGCCAAACAAAGGAACTGAATAGGCTGTAGGCAAAGCAAATTAGGGGTGTTAAGGAATGAAATAGTTTAAATATTAATAATTAATTCAGACATGGTACTGTATTTTCTGCAAAAGAAACTAACATTTAGTAACACGCTAACAAATTTCATCTCCAAAGAGATTAGTGCACTGGCAAAGTATTCTGATAACAGTGGAGGGCTGTGGACAGCAGGTACCAAAAACACCCAGCCTTGCAGATCTCAAGGTAGCGATGGCCTTCACTGATCACTCCCTTTGTCAGAAGTCCAAAAAGAACTTGCAGCATGATCACCTGCCTGCTGAACTTTCACTATAAGCAGCAAACTTTAAGGAGCTAAAGAGGAGTCCCCAGTGGGCAAGGGATGCAGAAAAACATGTTAAATGTAAACTTAAAAGACAGCAAAATGGGACACAAACCCCCATTCAAATCCCAGAGATGTGGGCAAGTCCCCAAAAGTAGTTGTTAGATTTTAAAACTGAACACACCTAATTTCCCAAAAAACACAATACACAGAAATTTCAGGGGTAACTTGAAAAATCATCAGAGAAATACTCAATGAATATCAAGCTATTCAACTCAAATATCTCAGGGCTGAAACATACCCTCTATTCATTCTGCCAACAATGCCTCTTGCTTCTTAGCAGAGATGCAATTGGTCAAGGACACCAAAAGGCTTTAGAGAGCAACTTTTTAAATTTTTCTTCTGGGCCAAGGTTAGGCCTATCAAGATTCAAGCAGCCCTGCAAGGCCTGTGAACAGCAAGTTCTAAAGGTGCCAAGGTCTGGCCCTTCCTTCCCAGACACAAGGGCAACACACAAACTCTCCTGTCAGGTTAAAATTTATATTTTAAAATATGCAAACGTAATTTAAATACTCTTAAGGCATTCATTTATTAAAACGTTCTCTGCCAAGATTTCACATTAGCTTAAAATTAAAATCAATCTTTACATTTCACTACTGAGGTATTCACCTCAGCGTATCACATAAAAACACCTTCTCTAGCAATCAGTGTTACAGCATCCATATGGTGAGCCCATGGTCAGCCTCTTTGTTCCATAAGTGAACCAACTAGATGTTAATACTGCTCTGCTACAAGGTAAAAGCTCCTAAGTCAAACTTATTGAAAAAAGAGTGAAACTTCTGCAAAGTGCACTTTAAGAAGAGGTACTTTTTGCTTATGAAAAGAAACCAGTGAGTCCTCTAAAAATAAAAAAGGGAGTATTTTACAGTTAAGCACATGATTTGGAGTGAAGAATTAGGATGTTGCTCTGCTGGTCCAAGCTGTTAATATTCTTCCTGTTCCTCCTGCGGGCCCCCTTCATCAGGTATCACAAAGCCTTCCTAAAATGGGAAAATGAGAGGAAAAGCTATTACTCAACAGTGAACGATCAGCTTCTAATGTGGGTTCACTTTCCTCAAATGTAAAGTCCTGCCTCTCCCACACACTTAGCATTTAATGGCATAGGCCAGGGGACCCTTATTTTATTCCTTAGGCAGAGGAATCACATCTTACAAAATACAAACTCTGAGCACAACCAAATGGTGATGGACGGGTATACATTGGCTTGATTATGATGATGATTTCACGTCAAGTTGACTTTATTATGTCAATTCTACTTCAGTAAGATTGTTTAAAAAAAAGTTAGCCCGGCTGGTGTGGTTCAGTAGTTGGGTGTCAACCCAGTCAACTTGCAAAACTTGCAAATCAACCATGGTTGATTCCTGGTCAGGGCACATGCCTGGGTTGTGGGCTTGATCCCCAGTAGGGGGTGTGCAGGAGGCAGCCGATCTGTGATTCTCTCTCATGATTGATGCTTCTACCCTTCTCTCTTCCTCTCCCTTCCTCTTTCTGAAATTGAAATTAAAAAAAAAAAGAAAAAAAGAAGAGAAAACATAAAGAAAAGGTACCCTCGACAATCCCTAAGGTCACCATAAATTTCAGTACTACCATCACCACTCAAGAAACTGTCTATAGGCAGTTTTTCCTTTATACATTACTTTGACTGTATTTAGAAATCCATGCCTGCTATGTAGGAGTGTTGTGGGTATTTTAAGTGTTCACACATAAACATGTCTGTACAAAAATAGCTGCAAGACTGACCGAACACTAGTATCATGGGAAATCAGATTTGGAACTCCCAACTCACACCAGCTCTAGGGCATTCTGGAATATACTAATGACTACAATAACATAAAAATTAGACTTCCCGCCCTAGCTGGTTTGGCTCAATGGATAGAACATCAGCCTGCAGACTGAAGGGTCCCAGGTTTGATTCTGGCCAAGAGCACATGCCTGGGTTGTGGGCTCAATCCCCAGTAGGGGTCATGCAAGAGACAGCCAATCAATTATTCTCTTTCATCATTGATGTTTCTCTCTCTCTCTTTCTCTCCCTTCCTAAAATCAATAAAATATATATTTTTTAAAATTAGACTTCCCTTCAACAATCTTTTTTTTTTTTTTTTTAACAAATCTCTATGGCCAAATTTACTTAAGATATGACTCAAGTAAAATAATACTCAAAAAATAAATTAAATAAAAGTAATACTCAGACTAGAACAAGAACCCCTATATCCTCATCTTTGTTTTCATTATCTGGCACAGAGCAAGCCTGAAATAAGAATTTACTTAACAAATTATTCACTTTTCTGTCATTTTAATCCCTCAAATTCACTCGATATGTTTGGAGAACAGAATTAATAACAGCATGAATCTTATATTTGTACTAGTATACCACATATATACTACAAAGTACTTAGACATATACTATAGACCTTGCTAGAAATTCAGAAAAATTGTAATATGGCCACTAAACAGTGGATACATCAAGATACCAAAACCTAAGTTGAAGAAAAATCAGTCTTCCCTGGTCAGCTAATACAATAATATCAGCAGATTCAGCCAGGAAACATGGCTCAAAGGTTGAGCGTAGACCTATGAACCTGGAGATCATGGTTCGATTCCCAGTCTGGGCACATGTGGACTCAATCCCCAGTGGGGGCCGTACAGGAGGCAATTGAGCAATAATTCTCAACATTGATGTTTCTCTCTCTCTTTCCTTCTCGCTTCCCCTCTGAAATCAAAATATATCTCAGCAGATTTGGCTGTGTAAACACATAGATTCCCAATAAACCTGACCACAAAGCACTTTGAGGAAATGGGAATCACACAATCTTGGGAGGGAGGAGCAAAGGTACACTCTGACAGCTGTGGGCAAAAAAGGACCAGGTGCCTGGTTCTCCAGAGCATGCAAGGGGTCCTGATAAAAACAGAGGCAACAACTCAGGCTGAGAGTTCTAAGCCGGTGGGTGTGGAGAGGGGATGGTGCAGCATGATCATTTGGTGGCACTCATTCCCTATCAGTAGCCACAAACTACAGATGCAGGGCAAACCAGCCACCTACTTCTTCCTATTCCTGCCTCAAGGGCTCACAGACCTCAAGGCAAAGGCTGAAGCTGGCAGAAGTGCCCTCTGGCTGACTTTGAAGAGTCAAAGATGAAGTCCTTTGTGAATGCTATGCTGGAACTCGACAAGCATCAGCAATGAGTTTGCCAAAACCAACCAGATAAAATGCATTTTCTCTTAGGTGGCAAAATGGCAAATATCCTCATGTCAAAACGTACATCTGTAGCATAGAGAATGTCCACAATCCTCTGCAATACAGGGTTGTTTTCCCCCTCGTTCTCCTGGCAAATCAATTCAATGTTCCTTAGCTTTCCAAAGTAGAAATCTCTTTCTTTCTCCAAGTCTTCGACAGTAAGTTTTAATACGTTGACCTGCACAAGACATTAAGAAGGGTGAGAAACTTGGCATTCATGTACCAGTCACATATCACACAAACATCTAACCCAAAGGAGATGTGGTCTTTCATCAAATTTTCTAACATGGACAAAAACCCTTTTCAGTTTAGTATCAATTTTCTCCAGCCCCAGATAAATAACATGGGCTTGTTCATGGCCGCCTTAAATATAATAATTCTCACAAAAGGGCAGATACCACCATGAACATTCAGGAACTTCTTAGGGATTGAGAAAGGATCTAGGAGAAGAAACTATGGGAGCCTGAGACAATTATAGAAGCAAAATCCATCCCACCAGGACTCAATCATACAATAAATTGAGTTCTTACCATTGGTCAATCAAGTTCATATATTTTTGTATGTGAAAGTCAATGGAAACAGAGGGTCTGGTCTAGGGGACAGGGTAGAAATGGCAAGCCAGGAGAGGAGGGGAAGACTAGTTAAAGATGACTAATACTAGCCAAAAACAGCTAGGTCTTAGGGAAGCCTGGGCACAGAAAACTCAATGGTTTTTTTTCTTCCACCCATCCTGTATACTGGGGAGAGGAGACCCTTAACTCAAAAGAAAAACATCTTCTGTGGAGTGTCCTGGGATCTGTCTCTCTTGAAGAGTCTGGAAAGGGAGAGAAGACAGCGGAGGTAGGGAACAAACCCCACCACGTTCCACTGCTAGCTCCCTCCATTGAGCATCTCATCTGCTCACCACACATGCAGCAGGAGCTTCTAGGAGCTCCACTGAGGGGCTCTCATTTCCACACAGGGACAACAAAGAAATCAATATCAGGCTTAGGCCAGGACTCTTAACTAGCCAAGAGTAATAAAAGTCATAACAATTCTCCTGGTCCTTTATGTATTTTAATCATGGTGCACCTTCATTCCAGTATTTTTAAATCTATGACATGTGAATTCACTTTAACTCTCACTAAATGTAAATTACAAGGCTTACTGTGCAGCATAAAATCGTCATGGAACTTACAGGCTAGGGGCACATGGAAAACCAAGCCAGGAAATCAAAGGTAAAGCAGATGGGAACAATTTGGGTAGCAAGGAATCTGAGAGCCAGAAGGCACCACAGAAATCCAGTCCGAACTCATAGCGGCAAAAACTGAAGTGAACAGCTGATCTAAGCTTCCCTTCAGCCTGATGAAGAAGCCAGACAAAACCAGAGGGATCAATGGTATATGTACAGAGATAATAATTTAATAAAAAAAGAAAAAAGAAAAGAAAAAAAAAGATTGAGAATTAAAAAAACAACAACAGAGGAATCAGTACTGCCCTATCTAGTTCCCCCTTCATAACCTGCAGTCAAGAATCATCCAGCTGGAACCGGTTTGGCTCAGTGGACAGAGCGTCGGCCTATGGACTGGAAGGTCCCAGGTTCAATTCCGGTCAAGGGCATGTACCTTGGTTGCGGGCACATCCATGGTAGGGGCTGTGCAGGAGGCAGCTGGTCGATGTTTCTCTCTCATCGATGTTTCTAGCTCTCTATCCCTATCCCTTCCTCTATGTAAAAAAAAAATGTGTGTATGTATGTGTGTGTGTGTGTGTGTGTGTATATATATATATATATATATATATATATATTTTTTTTTTTTTTTTTTTTTTTTTTTTAATGAATCATCCAGAGATGTGGAACAGGTGACTAGAACCAGCAAGACCATTCTATCAGACTTCTTTTTAATTTCAGAGAGGAAGGGAGAGAAATAAACATCAATGATGAGAATCATTGATCAGAATCATTGATCAGCTGCCTCCTGCACATTCCACAACCAAGGTTTGACTTAGTGGATAGAGCGTCAATCTACGGACTGAAGGATCCCAGGTTCAATTCTGGTCAAGGTCATGTACATTGGTTGCAGGCCCATCCCCGGTAGGAGGTGTGCAGGAGGCAGCTGATCGATGTTTCTCTCTCAACGATGTTTCTAGCTCTCTATCCCTCTCTTTTCCTCCCTGTAAAAAATCAATAAAATATATATTTTTTTAAATAAATAAATAAATAACACTTGAAGACCTATCTCACTATATTAAGACAAGGAACAGGAACCATAATAACCACAACTGCCATTACCCTGTTTATCCCAACACCATTCCAGGCACCTGACATAACATCAACTCATGGAATCCACTCAACTATCGTGAGCAAAGTATGATGAGACCACTTCACAGGAGGCAGTAAGTTCAGAGAGATTAACTGACTTGCTCCAAGTGGCAGAGCCAGGATAGTCCTCAAATCTATGCATCTCAAAGCCTGTGCTCCTCATACAGGACACCAGCTGCGCCTCTACCTCTTCTCCTCAGGGATCAAGATCAGCCTTGGGCTAGTCACCCAGACTCCCCACTATAACCCTCACTCTGTTTTTCTGAGACTGCTTCCTGTGTACATCCAGGCCTGAAAACCGACAGTTACAGGGAAGTCTCCTTAGTCTCCAGAACTTCTGCACTTCAGTGACAGCACTCAAAGCAGCCACACTGAGGAGGCTGGTGACCCAGTCACCCTGACACTCCTCAGGCACCTGGGACCATGAGCCACATGCAAATTAGAGAATAAGTTAGAAAACATGGTATTTGAGCAGGTTTTTCTATCCTGGTTTCCTAGATGCAGGGTCTGGGTCAGGATTAACATAAAGTTGTGACCCCCAGGTTTTAGGACGTGGCTTTTAGGAAATAAGAGAGTCCAACCTCAAATTCACTAAGATAACAAAGCATCACAATTTTATATTCTTATATTTTTATTGATTTTTTTACAGAGAGGAAGGGAGAGGGATAGAGAGTTAGGAACATCGATGAAAGAGAATCATCGATCAGCTGCCTCTTGCGCACCCCTACTGTGGATGTGCCCGCAACCAAGGTACATGCCCTTTACCAGAATCGAACCTGGGACCTTTCAGTCCGCAGGCTGACGCTCTATTTACTGAGCCAAATCGGTTTCTGCCAAAGCATCGCAATTTTAAAACGGGTTAATCAAGAGAATCATTCAAAAGCAAACAAACAAAATAACTACCAGGATTTGTGAGAAAATGTTTAAAAATCTAAAATTTGTTCTGATCCATAGACCTGACATGTATCTTCAGGATACTAATTAATCCTAAAGAAGACATTTCAAACCACTGACCTACTAAGAACAGAAGAATAGGCTTTTCATATCAGTTCCACTCTCAACTTGGATTTCAGCAGAGAAAACTGTAAAATCTTTTTTTAAATATTACTGAGAAAGAAAATCTCCTTTATCTTTCTCAGAGCAAAAAATTTAAGATACTCTGAATCCCACAGAATCCAGAGACATTCAACAGGGTTCTACTGTACAGGTGCGTTTCCAAACTAAGACATTGGTTTCTGTTACACTAACAGATCTCAGAAAGGCCCGACACCCCTCTCCTACCTCCACACTCACACTGCTCCCCACATAGCACCTGACAGGCTCACACATGTCAGGACCATGACTGTTTCAGCAAGCAGACAAAGTGGGTCTTCCCACAAGAACACGAACAAGCCTTTCTGGCTAGTGCAGCAAGTATCCTTTCCTCCAACATGACTCCAGTCTGGGATACAGGAGGGACCTACCTGCTGCATCAGTTCAGCTGCCTCGTCGTCCCCATTGCCCACACCAGGATTCTTTCGCACCACACCTGGGCCAGCCTTAGGGGTTGCAGTAGTTCTGTGTGTCGCAATGGGCCTCTGTGGAGCTGAGAGATCAGAGGTTTTTTTAAGAGCAGAAATTTCAAAATCAAAAAGAACCCGCCAGCCCTGGCCAGGTGACTCAGTTGGATGGAGCATCAGCTGTACACCAAAAGGTTTCCAGTTTCATTCCCAGTTGAGGCACATATAGGAGGCAACCAATCAATGTTGCTCTCTCCCAAATCAATAAACATATCCTCGAGTAAGGATTTAAATAAAAAACACCAGATGACAAGAGGAGGCTGTGACCAACTTCCCTTCACAGTAATGCAGGGACCCAATGTGGAGAGACCAGCATGTATGACAACCCCATGTTTGCCCAAAATGGTTTTTTATCCTTCAGTCACAATCTCTTGTGCTGGGAGTAAGTCCTCCTATGAGGTCTTTTTGTTGCTGTGGTGAATAGAACTATCATTTGAAAGAGGCACACACAGTTGATGTACCTTAATCCAGTTCCAACCAAATCCACCAGCAGGGCAGCTTCATGGCACAAAAGCAAACTTCATGCCAGTAGTGAGCTCACAGTTTCAGCTGCTGCTCTGCACTCATAGTTCCCCACCTGGAAAGTAAGATGCCTCCTAACTCAGAACCTCAGACTCCTTGTATTGGAAGAGCAGGGTGGTAGACTGCTCTTACAAGTAATTACTTCAAAGCCCATTATCTTGCTCACCTTTCAGAAGGTGGTTAGAAGGGTTAGGAGAGAAAGGGAGCACAGTGACCAGGATTTACAAACTTCTCTCAGTGGTACAGATACAAAAGACACATATTCTATGATCCCATTTATATCAGATCATATAAAAATTTAAAAGTACTCAATGTTCTTCTCTCCCTACCAGATGGATCAGCCTTTTTCTCAAGGTATAATGGGACCTTATATTCTTGTAAAGGAGGCATTAGCATCTGTAGAACATCCACCCTGCCCCCAAAGTATAGGTATCTATACTAATAAAAGGGCAATATGTAAATCTATCAGGATGCCCTCACAGTAACGACTGAACAGCAGGCTGTGTGGGGTGACCAGGCCAGCAGGGGAGTTAGTGAGGGAAGACCAAATGACTGAACAGCAGTCTGCATGGAATGACCAGGCCGGCACTGAGGGCAGTGAGGGGTGACCAGGCCAGCAAGGGGGCAGTGATGGGTGACCAGGCCAGCAGGGGGAGCAGTTGGGGGCAACCAGTGGGGGGGGGGGGGGGGGGGCAGGCCAGCAGAAAAGGGCAGTTGGGGTCGACTAGGTCGGCCCAGAGGAGGAGGGGGGCAGTAGGAGCAATCAGGCCATCAAGCAGAGACGGTTAGGGGTGATCAGGCAGGCAGGCAGGTGAGCAGTTAGGAGCCAGTGGTTCTGGATTGTGAGAAGGATGTCCAACTGCCAGTTTAACACTGCTGGTTTAGGCAGACATCCCCCAAGGGGTCCTGCATTGGAGAGGATGCAGGCTGGGCTGAAAGGACCAGGGTAACTGACAGGTAATTTTTATGAATGTGCACAAATTTCTGCACCAGGCCTCTAGTATTCTATAAATATACTACTACAAACACATTTTGGAAAACCTCCTGGCCAAGACTTTTTAGAGAAGGTCTCTAAAAAATAGACCCCCACCCCACCCCCCCTTGCCCCCCAGATTCTGCTGGCATCATAGCAAGCCAAAGCCACTTAACAGCTCAAGTTCTTAGGAGGGCAGGAAAGCTGTGAAGTAATGTACAGGAAGCTCATCTGCAGACAGAATAATGATGCAGAGAGCCAAGAACAGTCCCTGAGAGACCTAGAAAGCTCCTTCAGTTCCTGGGAGTGCAGGTCTTACTGTTATTGGGCTCTATATAATGTCCTTGTGTTCAAAGCTCTTTTTTGTGAGTTAACCTGCCTTGGCAAAACTGCATACAGTAACCTGTCCAGGCCTCAAAAGCAACTCTCTGGGGCACATATTCAAATTCCTGTTCTACATAGGAGGAAACTATAGGGCAGGTCAAGTAGGTTACAGAGACTTAAAAACAACCACAGGTCAGCCTGATGCCACATTCCATGGTCTTGCTACGTGGCTGTGACTAATCTATCCTTAAGCTCCCTTAGCCTATGGCTACTCAAAAATTCTGATTAAATGTTGAATGAATGAATAAATACCTGTAAAACTATTACTTGGAATTGATATTTCTGTATGGTTTTTACCTGCAGTGCTAGAGCTGAGAGGTTTCTTCGGTTTGTTCATAGCTGGAGCAACAAGGGAGGGAGCCACTGCAGTTTCTTGACCTTGTCTGGCAGCTACAGGGTCATAGTCTTTTCCATCATAGTTTGCATCAAAAAACTTCTTGAACCACTGAACGAATTCAAAATTGTCCTGAAACTTTCCTTTTACTAATCTGTCCACAGGAATTATCTGCAAAGAAACATCAAGACTGTTTAGCTCAAAGCAAGAGGCTTTTGGAAAGCATCAAACATGTCAATGCATCAATCAGTATAAAGCTCTGCTTACCAAGGAAAAAAATATAGTTTAGAGGCAAGAACTTACTATAAAGTAAGCCCCTGAACATTTATAGAGCAAATTTTACCTAGTTTGCCTTCCATAGAATAGTTCTCCAAGTCCATCAAAAAGAACCAGAAATGCAAAAGGAACAAGTGTCATATGTAAGTTCCATACACAATTCCAAGCACATCCTAAGAGATGTCATCCCACTATAAAAAGTAAGTCTCCTGTGTAACTTGCATGGCCACAGTGCCTGTCTTAAAGTTTAAAATCCAGAGCATAAACTAACCACAGGTATCTATAATAAACTTTTTTTTTTTTTAATTGTCTTAAAAGTAGATCGAGACACAAAATCAGTCTTAGGACAGATTTCTACAAAATGGTATACTTTTCAAGTAATTCCAATCCTATTAAAGCACACTTTAAGGATTCTGTAAGTTTTGTTATTATACAAGAATACTGTGTTATCAGATATTACTTCAAGTCATTAGCCAGAGTTTACTTTCAAGGATTCCAGTTGCAATAGTATTTTTATAAATAATATACGTAATGTGAACTACATCCTTCCCTCTGAGCAAATAAATACAAAATTATTTTGTATGGAGTAGAGGTATAGCTGAAACAAAACTAGACAGGAGTCGATAATTGTTGAGGTACATGGGGGATCAATGCACCATACTCTTTTTTACTTTAGAAATTTACCTTATTCAAAAAATTTAAATTCTACAAAAAGAAAAAGATAAATTACTGCATATAATAAACTGCATCTATTGTAGTTACACTATGCATGGTAACAAAATGATATTCTTACCATACACATGAGTATTTTATATAGTACAGAGACAAAACTAAAAGACTGATTTCAAAGTAAACAAAAACCAGACACACAAACAAAACAATTAGGGGATGATTACAAGCTTTACTAAAAATGAATTTTCCCCAAGAAATGGTTTAAAAGGAAAAACCCTTCAAATGGGTGAGGAGAGAAATTGCTTAATTTTGCAATAGTTACACATTATTTAACCATGGAGATATGCTCAAAGAAATGCATCGTTAGACAATTTCATCATTGTGCAAACAGCACAGTGTGCACTTACACAAACCTAAATGATACAGCTGACTACACACCTTAGCTATATGGTATAGCCTATTGTTCCTAGGCTATACGCCTGCACAGAACGTAAATATGCAAAAACATCACAGATCAAATCAAGCACAAGAGAGAATGATGCAAGAGATGTAAACACAGGATGTATGAAGCTGCTGCAGGCATGACTCAGCATGCTGTTTACAGCGAACTTTTTTAGTAGAAAGAGTTATGTACACTCTAAAATAACAATTAAATAGTAGTAAATTTATAAACCAGGAACAGTCATTTATTATCATTATCAATGATTATGTATTGCTCATAGTTATATGTACTACATACTAGACTTTTATACGACTGGCAGAGCAGTAGGTTTATTTACACCAGCACCACCAACTTTAATGCATTGTGCTACATGCTGCAATGTCAGGGACTTCACACCTAGCTTTGTCATGTCAACAGGTGGTCCTTCATTGACTGAAACACTGTTATGTCACGCATGACTCTAATCTATTATCTGCTAAAACAGGGATAATAGTTGTCCTAATGAAGTCTGGTTTAAGGTTATCTTCAAATAACCTTGGGGGCAAGAGGAAACTTCCCAACCCACAGGCATCGTCCCTGTATCCTGCTTTTACAAAGCAAGTATTTCTAGAAACTTCTCTATGCTTTACAAAATTGAGTCCAGATATTAAAGAGTTAGATCTCAGTAACAGAGATTAAACAGGTTGACTCCTATAGATGGTTGCTAACTTCACTATGAAGAAAGAACATAGTAAGGGAACTAGGGTAGGAGAGGATAGAGGAAAACTGTTCTCAGTAAGTTCTATGTTAACTAGAGAAAAGAAAAATATATAAATTGGGAAAAGAGCCCTAGCCAGTTTGGCTCAATGGATCGAGCGTCAGCCTGCGGACTCAAGGGTTCCGTGTTCGATTCCAGTCAAGGGCATGTACCTTGGTTGCAGGCACATCCTCAGTGGGGGGTGTGCAAGAGGCAGCTGATTGGTGTTTCTCTCTCATCAATGTTTCTAACTCTCGCTCCCTCTCCCTTCCTCTCTGTAAAAAAAAGTAAAATAAAAAAAAAATACACACACACACATATATATATTTTTATTTTTTATTTTTTTTTAATTGGGAAAACAACATGCCGAAGTCATGGGCCAGCAGCTGTATCCTTAATAACAATCACTAGTCAAGAAACAACCTTAAATGAAAGAATAAAATGTACCTACTTTGTCAACACCCATCCTCTTAAAACCTGCTTGTAGTATTTTGAAGTTCTGGATGTATTCATGTTCTAGCTTAGCTTGAAATTTCACTTTCTTCAAGGCAATGGAGCCAGGGAACAGCATGTCCATAAACTGACAATAGGCAGCCCCTGAATGAACAACAGAACAACAAAATATGCAATAAGTTATTAAACATTATTATTAAAGAAGCAGGGGGAAACTTACACCAAAGCCCCTTAACCCAGGTACAATTTTATAAAGTTATATACATATTTTTTTAATATATTTTATTGATATTTTACAGAGAGGAAAGGAGAGAGAGCGAGCTAGAAATGTCGATGAGAGAGAAACATCAACCAGTTGCCTCTTGCACACCCCCTACCGGGGATGTGCCCACAACCAATGTACATGCCCTTGACTGGAATCGTACGTGGGACCTTTCAGTCCACAGACCGACGCTCTATCACTGAGCCAAACCGGTTTCGGCAACCCAGGTACAATTTTAAAAGTTGTAAAGTGGACCTACAATACCTAAAAGCTTCAATACCACTTGTCTCTAAAGTCATTTTTAAAATCTATAACAAAACTGTGGTTTTGCCTGATCGGTTCTTCAACACATTTGCAACTTGGAAGACAGTGAAGGGACTTGGAAGGCAATGAGGGGAAAAGAAATATATGTTTCTATGAAATTTTAAAACTACTCTTTATTATAAACATTAAAAAAATGACAGCTGCAAATAGATATAGATATATATATAGATATATATAGATATATACTATATATATCTATATCTATATATATATATTTTTTTTATTATTTTTTTTTTTTTTTTTTTTTTAATGAATGCATAGAATTGAGAAAAGGGAAACAGAGGCTGACATTTTCTGATTTTTCCCAAGGACATAACCGCATCCTCATGAGCAGGAGGAGAGATTCCTAAGTATTTCAAATATCCATGTTCTGATGTTTAAAAGAATTTTTTTCTGCCGGGACCGGTTTGGCTCAGTGGATAGAGCGTCCCGGGTTCGATTCCGGTCAAGGGCATGTACCTTGGTTGCGAGCATATCCCCAGTAGGGGGTGTGCAAGAGGCAGCTGATTGATGACTCTCTCTCATCGATGTTTCTAACTCTCTCTCTCACTTCCTCTCTGTACAAAATCAATAAAATATATATAAAAAAAAAAAAGCTCCAGAGTAAGAACTCTCAATGTTTTAACTCACACACACACAGAAAATAGATGACTACTAAATGTAAGAGTATTCAGGCTTAAGGACTTGAGTAAGGACTGAGTCATCTACTTAGACCACATGTGTCAAACACAAGGCCCGCGGGCCAAATCCGTCCCGCCAGGCCTTGCAATGTGGCCCGCACCGCGCTGTCATCACTGCACTCCGCTGCGTTTCCATCACAATGACAGTTTATGACTGTTCAGTAAACCATTCGGCCCGCGATTTAGGCTGGATTTTAGATTTTGGCCCCTTCTCTGATTGAGTTCGACACCCCTAACTTAGAGGATGACTAAGTGTGAAAATAGCCCAGGTGGCCTGGCTCTGTGGTTGAGCTTTAACCTGTGAACCAGGAGGTCACAGTTCAATTCCCGGTCAGGGCATATGTCTGGGTTGTGGGTTCCATCCCTAGTGCAGGGTGTGCAGGAGGCAGCGAATCAATGATTCTTTTCTCATCATTGGTGTTTCTATGTCTCTCCCCCTCTCCCTCCCTCTCTGAAATTAATAAAATGTTTTAATCCTATAATATGCAAATAGACCAAACAGCAAAACAACAAATCAATGCATAATCTGCAAATGATATGCTAAAGCAATTCAACCATTCGCTATGACATGCACTGACCACCAGGGGGCAGATGCTCCAACACTGATAACACTGCTGCTGGGGTCCGGCTGATCGGGACTGAGAGAGATGGGCTGGACATGCTCCGACTGGGCACCAGTGCAGTCCCTCAGCCTGGCCTGCACCCTCTCGCAATCTGGGACCCCTCAGAGGATGTCGGAGAGCCAATTTCAGCCTGATCCCACAGACCACACCCCTTGGGAGGGCACCAGATGCAGGACTCATAGCTGGTGAGCACTGCTGTGGCAGCGGGAGCCTCTCCTGATCCGGACTGACTGAGCATGAGCCTCTGGCACAGTGGGCCCAGGATGAACGGGAGCAGCAGGTAGGAAATGCAGGTTGTGTTGGGCTGCAGATTTCGGCCCTATCCCTGCAGGCCACCCAGAGGGACCCACCCATGCACAAATTTGTACTCCATGCCTCTAGAGTGGAAATAAAGGACTGGGAGGAGTCATTAATGCAATCATTAAAAGTCATCAAGAAAATTAGCCGAAACTGGTTTGGCTTAGTGGATAGAGCGTCAGCCTGCGGACTGAAGGGTCCCGGGTTCGATTCCGGTCAAGGACATGCACTTTGGTTGCAGGCACATCCCTGGTAGGGGGTGTGCAAGAGGCAGCTGATCGATGATTTTCTCTCATTGGTGTTTCTAACTCTATCCCTCTCTCTTCCTTTCTGTAAAAAATCAATAAAATATAAAAAAAAGAAAATTAACGTAGGAAAAATAATCCTATTTTAATTTTAAAAGTAGGAAACAAAACTGTACGACACGTTTGTATATGTTACTACAACAATCTGTAATACCAACAGATTGGAAACAAACTAAATGTCCATTAACATGAACTGATCCAAGGAAAATTACAGTATTCCAGCCATAAAAGAAAGTAGCAAGGCATCTGATGATATATGGATATGGCACACTCTCCAGAATATACATTGTGATTAAATATGCTGCCATTTGTGAGAAAGGGAGGAATAGGTGCACAACACACACAGACACACACACAGACTATAGACTCTCTCGAGGCTGGCTACCCAGCTGATAACACTGGTTTCCTCTGGAGGGGAACTGGGTAGCTGGTAGACCCAGTTAAGAGGAAGACATCATTGTTTTATCTTTTTGTTCCTTTTGAATTTTAAACCATTTTAAGACTTTCAGTTATTAAAAAAAATAATAAAAATAATATATACATTATGTCAATTAAATTTAAAAAGTATAGGAAAATACTGAAAGTACAGCTAAAATGAGTAACCTTGGGCAAGTTGTTTAACCTCTCTTTGCTTCACTTACCTAAGTGTAAAATGGTATGGATACCCTGACCTCCCAGGTAATAGATGTAAAGCACTTTGGAAAGTGCCTGGCCTATAAGCACTCAATAAATAAAGCCATAACTAAGACAAAATGCAGCTAAAAGATAACAGTAACTGTCACTAACTTGTGGCATTACAGTGGAATATGGTTATGATTTTCTTAATGTTTCAATAACAAAGACTTAATCACTTATAATCAGAAGAAAAGTTTTTTGGGAGGCAACTAATCAATGTTTCTCTCTCTCACTGATGTTTCTCTCTCACCCTCTCTCTCTAAAAGTCAATTTAAAAACTTTTATATATGTGTGTGTATATATACACACACACACACATATGTATCTTCCAGTGAGGATTAAAAAAAAAAAGGTCAGGGGGGAAAAAATGAGGAACATTTGTAATAATATGAACAATAAAGATTTATGTAAATTTAAAAAAAAGTCTCTTAGAAAGGCTGCAGACTAATGTGGTAGAACAAGAAAGAAGTGAGGGTGGGGGAACTCAGAGGGAACCTAGTGCCCAGTCAGGGGCCACTGCGGCAGCAGTGGGCAAACTGATAGGGGCTGGATCTGAAACACCCTTCGGAAGACATACAGAACTTTGTGAATTAGACTCAGATGATTCTCAGGCGACACTAGAATGGTGAAATCATGGCCCCCACTAAAGTGTTTGAAAAAGGGAGTCAACTTGAGGAGAAAAAGTGGGGTAGGCCTGGTTAAGAATGTGGTAACACACCCTCATGAGCAAGACTGACAAGCTGTTTTTTAGCTGGGGAAAAGGAAATCTAGCATCTGCCTGGGAGCATGTGAACTCTCCTATTCTGTGCAGCACAGGAACAATGGAGAGGCCAGGCTGGAGAGGAGAAGGCAGAAGAGAGGGGAGCCAAGAACTCTTTCAGCGAGGGACACTCGGCATGTTCAACGCACGTTGCTCGGCCCCTGGAGAAGTGCAGAGGGGCCTGAATATGGAAATAGAACTGAGGAAAAGGGAATGGGTGACAAAAGGCAACCAGTATCCCTTTTTGAAACAAGCAATCCCTCATCAAAATCCTTCTCTGTGATCAGGTTTCTTTTCTTGAGGTCTAGCTTTCCAAAGCAGGGAACTACAGAATGTAGTGAATCTTGAACAACCTACCAACTCTGTCACTGAAAGTTATCCTCAACATATCTCACTACAAGAGCCAAGCCAATGCTCATTTCACTGATAGGGGGAGGGGAAGGAGAGTCCACAATACTGACAAAATTCAGCCATTTCACAGGCAGCCAGCACATTTAATAGTATAGGTACCCCAAGAGGAAAACCTAGTCCTACCTTCTAAAGCTGGTATTTGGCAGGGAATTTAAATCTGCTTGATCCTCTTCTCATCAGAGCTAAGAACAGGAAGAACTAGGCGCCAGAGTTAAGGACTCTTGGGATTCTGCTTTGGCCTCAGCACACACAAGGATCTGAGGAGCCTCACTTTTTCCTAGACTCCAACCCCCTGGCAGCAGGCCCTCTTCAGGGACACAACAGTGTCTGTCGCTATTCCTGTTGGGTCTCTGACTGGAAGCTGAGACCAGGTTTTCTAAGCATTAACATGAAACACAATGCAACCATCTACATACTCTGAGAGAAGCCCTAAGCAGCTGACAAGAGAAGAAATAGTATGAATGAATAAATGTTTGCTTACAAATCACAGTTAAGTGTCCTGCACTTACCACTTTGTACTGGGGAAAGGCATTTTATCCAGAGCAAGAAAAGTAACAACCAACAGGCAAGTTAAAATTCTTCACATAATTTTTTAAATATATTTTTATTGACTTCAGAGAAAGAAAGGGAGAAGGAGAGGGAAAGGGAGAGAGACAGAAACATCAATGATGGGAGAGAATCATTGATAGGCTGCATATCCCCTTACTGAAAATGGAGCCCACAACCTGGGCATGTTCCCCGACGGGGGAATCAAACTGTGACCTCCTGGTTCATAGGTCGATGCTCAACTACTGAGCCACACCGGGGCAGGCTTGTCACAGATTTTTAATGAGATAATATTGTTGTAATTAATTATATGTAATCTACATTTAACTCTTTCAAATGCCTTAAAAAAAAAAAAGATATAATGTGTATACATCAGAAAGAGTGTGGGCTGTGTAGTCAGAAAAATCTGGGTTCAAAACCAGCCATGCCCCATGGACATTCCCCATACTGTAAAAGAAAGTCTACACTTAACCCCGGGGTCTAGTAAAGAACCCGTATCTGACAGCTCTTTTTACAGGTGAGCCTCACAACAGCCCAGTTTACAAATGAAGAACTAGAACTTTAAGGAACTCCAAAGTCAAAAGGCTCAGAGCAAACCTAAGCCCCGTCCTATCATGACAGCTTCCTGTCTGAATGAGATAAATCTGGAGCCAGATCAGCACATGCACAACTTATTTATACATGAAAAGAGATTAAGTGAAATATACTTTGGTACATATTTACAGAAAGAAGTAAATTTAGGGGGAAATTGGTGAAAAGGCCAGCTCCAATGAAAACTAAGATGTTCTCATCCACACATTAGTCATAAATCACGGGTCAAACAAGTGCATTAAAAGCCTCAATTAGAAATGTGGTGAGAAAACTGAGAAAACTAATAGGAACTGGGAGGAAAGCAGTCCAGATTTAAAGCTAACAACCTGTACTTCTGACTAACAAAGTAACTCATGTTTAATCAGCATGACTCTCGGGCACCAGTGTTTCACTGAACAACTTCACATGGAGCTTCCTCTGACCGTCTGTAAAACTGAGATTAAGCTTCACAGGGGAAGTAACAAAACGAGCTAATGAAACCAAGACTAAGACACAGTTAAAAAATAAGGAAGTACAAAGCTGAATAATTTTTTAAAGTCGTATAAATGAGAGCAATAATTTTAAATTGATCCAAACAGCACCAGTCAGTAAAGGAAAAGTCTGGAGTAAGTAGGGTACAGGGGCTGAAGAGCCTGGCTCTTCACTGGAATGGATGTTCAAGTCTCAATCTTGTTCTTGGCTGTATAACTCTGGACTTACTACTGTTTCCCTAAGCACATTTCCTCATCTGTAAAACAGATTAATAAACATCCCTATCTCATGGAGGTATAGTAAGAATTAAATGAAAATATACTTAAAAAGCATTTACATAACCCGGGAACACAAGTGTTCAATTAAATGATTGCTTTCATTTCTAGGAGAATCTAAGGATTCTAATTCTCTATCCCACAAACAATGGAAGAATTTAAGTAGCAGAGAATACATATCTCATCTTTCTTCCGGCATATTCTTGACCTCACCTCCTATCCTGTAGTAAATTTACTTTTGATAACCCTAACACATTTCTTATGTCAGGTCAATCGGGTAGACAGCAGAACTCTCAAAAGGTGAGACAGAAGGAACTAACCCTGTGGACACCCTGATTTTGACCTTGAGCTTCCAGAAGTGACAGAATAATACACTTCTATTTCAAGCAAACAAAAATAAAAGGGGGGAGAGGGGGTTAGACAGAAGTCTTTAGAGACAGTAGAAACAGATAAGACCTTTATGAAAAATACCAAGAACCTAAAGTTCATACCATCTTAACTAGTAATTCCATTTATAGGAATCATTGAGGAAATAAACAGAGATAAGATTTATGCTAAAGGATTCTTAACCTAGTCATAATCACAATGGAAAAATTAGAAATAACCTAAAATGTCCAAAAATTGGTAAGATATTAAACAACTGCAGCATAGCTATAGAAAAAAATATCACATATTCATTAAAAATAATTAATACAACAAGAGTAAGTGACACTAAAGGATATCCACAGTACAAAGCTTAGCAGAAAAAGTGCACGGAAAGGTAAAAATCTGAACAGTGGCTTTCTCTGAATAATAAACTACAAGCATTTTTTTCCTTCTTCTAGTTTTCTAAATGTTGTATCATTCGTATATACAGAAACAAAACGTGTTTTTCTTCTTTTTTTAAATCATTACCTCTCTGCCAAATTTTATTAAATAGAAGTTCAATAAAATTGTGGCTGAAATGGCATTTATCTGACTTTGGTCTTGTGCTACTTGGAATAAGAAATGCCATAGATAGGCCCTGGCTGAGAGGCTAAGTTAGTTAGAGTGACATCCCGATATGCCAAGGTTGCAGGTATGATCCCCAGTCAGGGCACATACAAGAATCAACCAATGAATGCATAAATAAGTGGAACAACAAATCAATGTTCCTTTTCTTCCCCTCTCTCCTTTCTTCCTTACCTGTCTCTTTCCCTAAAATCAATCAATAAAATTAAAAACAAAAAAAGAAATGCCACTGATAAACTAATTAGAACAAGTATAATTACTGTCCTCAAAACATTTCAAATCTAAACGTGAAAGAGCATAAAAGAGACTTGGGGATAAGCTGCAGGCCTCATAATTCAGTTTCTAAGGCCAGAGATGGAGGACTGACAGGCCAGCCAGAAGCATGCTCTTTTTAAGTGCATTTCTTTCAGAAGTAATACCAGGGCAGGGCTGAGAAGAAATGGGGCAGGCCTAACATAAAATCTGAACCTGTGGCTTTTGCAGACAAACACAGACATGCACATTCCTGAAGGACCTATAGGCTTTCCTAGAAAAGTAGTCTAGTGGATTTCTCTTACCTGAGCACAACTGTTCTACCTTTGTCAGATTCAACTGCAGGGACTCATTAATCCAAGCCAGCATGTCATGTCGACTTAGGTTATCACTGGTGACTGACGTTGAATATACGTTCACTGCCATCTTCTATAGCATGTGAGAAAAAGAAAACAGTTTGCATTATTAAGCATGCAAAGGAGAGCAAGCATTTCCTTCCTACACATCACACAAGACTTGTGGGAACTCTCAATTTTTAAGTCTCACCTTCTTTCCCAAAAGGCCAAATCAGAGACACCAGCATTCTAGCCAAGAGCCTGGACTAAACATGACCTGAAATGACTTGCCCAACAACAGCCAGCCTAAAATTTAGGCCCCATTTTAATGTGATTGATATAAAATTTTAAGCTACAATGAATATTAAGTAAAGGGAAGTTTAAATGTTTTATGAAGGGAGGCTGATGTACAAACAAGAGCATTCTATTTAGAAAATATCAGTTAAAACTTATCCATTAACATATTAAAACTAGAGGCCCAATGCACAAATTCATGCATGGGTGGGGTCCCTCAGCCTAGTTGGCTATTGGGACCAATCAGGGCCAGCTGGCCAGGGGCGGGGACTGAGGGAGGTTGGTCAGCCAGCCAGGGGGTTAGGACCACTGTGGGAGCACACTGACCGGGGGCAGCTCCTGCATTGAGCGTCTGCCCCCTGGTGTCAGTATGCATCATAGCAACCAGCCGACCAGTTGTTCAGTCAACCGGTTGTAATGGTCGCTTAGGCTTTTATATATATACTAGGCACCTGTTGCAGGAATATTCCTGCAACACTTCCGGTGGGCTTCCCTCCCTCCATCCCACCTCTCCCACTGTGGCGGGCAGGGCGGGGTGGGTGGGTCAGATGGGGGGGGGGGTGCGCTCAGAGCAAAATCAGAACCACCATAAGATCCCATGCTGTCTTGTGGCACTTCATTCCCTCCACCCAGTGACCAGTGTATGAGTTGTTCTTCCTACCCACCCCTGTCTTTTGTACAAGGCTGCTGCAAGCCTCATGACATAGCTATAGAATGTGAAGGCTGAAGAAATAGAGATCTACTCATTCAATCCCTTTTTATGAGCAGGTGACTGAGGTCTGGAGAGGTAAATGACTTACCAAGTTTGTGCCCTCACATCCCACACAACTCTTGGCAGAGTGCCTTGCATACAGTAAGAGCTCATTAAAAGTTACTTGTTTTTTCAGGTTGACAGGACATTGTCAAAGAGGGGAAAAATGTATCTAAATGTTTGCTTCTGAAAAAAATGTAAACTTTTTTCAGAAGCAAACCATCAATTAACACTTTTATAATCTTAAACTCAAATGTTAAAGCTGTAATAAAGAACCAGCATAATTTAGCTCCTGATTCCACTGGGAAATTAATCCCCACATTCCCACAGCAATTCATTCAAACCTCTATGATAGGCATTATTGCACTGCACCATCATTATCTCTTCATTTCTGAATCACTCCAGGACCAGATTTGGGCCAGAAGGCAATTTGCTTTATGCAAAGAACTGAGGATTTCAAGCAAGGACCCGAATTTGAACTTGAGGATGTCATTCATTAGCTGTAGGACGTTGGGTAAGTTACTTAACTTCAATGCACCTCAGTTACGAATTAATGCCACCTACTTGAGAAGGATGAGGTTTAAATGAAATAGATACATAAAATATTTGGCATGCAATCTGATACAGAATATTAGGTCCAGGACAGGGAGGGATCTTGTCTCATTCATCCTAACTTCAGTGCAAAAAACAAAGACCTGCCACCACCATCTTTCAGCTGGATCAACTGCCACAGCGTTCAAATTAGTCTCAATCTATTCTTACAAAGCAGCCAGAGATAATTTTCTGAATCACAAATTAGATCAAATGGCTCCCTGTTTAAAATCCTTGAATGAACAAATGAATTATAAGAATACTGAATTGTGTGTAAAACACTATTATCAGGTACCAAAGGACACATCCAAACAAAAAAACATGGTCCCAGACTGAGCATTTGTAATCTATTTTGGTGACATTCATGCATACATCAGGTATTGTGTGTGTTGTGCTACCAAAAATGTAAGCAGCTGGTTAAGCCACGTGTGACTGCTGACCACACCTCAGCTCAGCAAAACATTAGTGGCCTTTCATCATCATATAATTTTAAACTCTTCATTAGCAGTACATTCATACTGGGTACTATGTGCTTCAAAAACTCTACAGCCACTAAATACATGACGTTAGGCACTCTGTGGATGTGCCATAAACATCGACTGACTTAACCAATTAACTGGTTTTCCCAGGCAGTCAATACAGAGCCCAGTTCTTATGAGCTACAGCTCCCCCTTCCTCCATAAGTATACCATTGCTTGGTCTCAATGGATGGACCCCATGACCACCCCATAAACTTCACCCTTAAATGCCTCCTTCAGCCAAGTTTCTTCTTGCCTCACCCCAGAAGCTCTCCTCCTTCACCAGTTCTCCTAGAAGGCTCCCAAACTCATTTTGATCCAATGCTAGCTATGAGCACCTGGAGAAGGAGATACCACCAGAAAAAAAGTGATGTGACCCTGAATAAACATCTCACCTTTTGGATCAAAATGGCTCACCTGTAAAAGGTGAACGATATCTTCTGCAAAACATTGCAATGAGGATTAAATGAGAATCTAATTGAAAACATTCCAGTGAAAAGTACATCATGTCCTAGGCTTTCCTATGAACCAGAAACGGTGCTAGTCACTGACAAACCAGGAAAAATGACACAATGGTATGACACATGCTCTCTCTAGGTCTGGACCTCAGAGAGGCAGTGGAATATAGAGGTTAAGAGCCTGGAATTGGGAGTCCCAGAAGTGGGTTGGGCCACTTGCTGGACAGCATAAAGCAGATATCTCCTCCTCTAAGAATCTAAGTCCATTCATTTATAAAATGAAGATGCTATCTCTTCTAGACAGAGTGATATATTAAATGACATAATGCCCCATCAAGCACTTAACACGATGCCTGACACTTAGCAAGTGCCCAATTAGGAAATAATTATTATTATTACTACTCTTTGAGACACCCCATCAGAGGTGGATGCCAGTCCTGGTGTATCCTTCAATGGGACTCAGGATCCTCATCCGCCAAATGGGGCAGAGACCAAGCTCTGCCCTGTAGTACCCCTAGGGCAGCTGTGAAGCAGGCATTGGAAAAGCACTGTTCATATATTGTCTTCCTAGTAGTTGTATGAAATTATCCTGTCCAGGTATGCATCTTCTACTTCCTGTCTCCCCACCACAATGTAGACTCCTAGAAAGGACTTCAGGCCTTTGCCCTCTGCTCCTGGTGTATAGCCAGAGCTTAGCACAGTGCCTAGTACCTTTCAGGCACTCACCAAAAACCCAATTAAGAAAGGAAGGAGTCCATTGAGCTGGCTTGGTTTCTGTTATGCACGGCGTTATAGTTTTCTGTATTATCCTTTTCCCCATTTCACAGATGAGGAAACTGAAGCCCAGAGAGGTTAGAGCAGCTGCCCAAGGTTACACAGCAGGGAATCGAACCCAGGTCTGAATCAAAATCCGAACTTTTAATCATCAGGAAACACCGCCTACTACAGTGGGGGTCCCCAGAGCTCCCGTCAGGCCTCACTTCAACAACACATACCCCCCAACCGAGTCGGCCACCCCGGAACCTCCCGCCACCTCGGGCCCGATTCCACACCTCGGGCCGGATTCCACACCTCCGCCACGACCCAGAAGCCCCCACGCGCCGTGGGGCAGCCCCGCTTCCGGTCCTAAACCCCACCCCCTGGGGCATAGAGAAGCGCGCGCCCCCCAGTCCGCGCGCGCCGGGTCACGGCCCCGCCCTTCCCCCCCACCCGGCCGAACCGTGCCGCCGCGAGGAGCGGCCCGAGCACCGTCTGCAGGACCCGCCGGCGTCTGCTCAGCCCAAGGCCCACAGAGCCGGCCCCGCGCCGCCTGGCTGCCGCCCCGTGCCCGCTGCCCCGTGCCCGCCTGCCGGCTCACCGGCTCGCGGCGGAACCACGTCCACTGCCGTGCCCGGCTTCGGTTCCGTCTTCGTCTCGTTCAAACCGCCCGACCCCGCCCGCCCGCGCGATGACCTCACACGCACCCTCCCCGTTACGCATCGACGTAAAAGCTCGTCATCGTCCGCCGGCTCCTTTTATAGAGACTCAGCGAGCGCCCGGGGCGGGACCCAGTCCCCTTGATCGACAGCTGAGGCACCCAAGGGGCGAGGCAAGACTGCCGAGTCTTCGCAGCCACGTGATCTGCCGCATCCAATGATAGCTCTCCTCGAGCGAAGTGTGACTCCGCCTGGAAGGCGGGATCCAGCTCCAAATTCTCCGCCCCGGTAAGCCTCCTCTCCCACCCCCCCAAAAAAATTAGGTTTTACAATGAATTAATACAAAAATAGGTTATTAAGTATAGATACTTGTTAGGAATTTTAAGGAAAAACTGTAAAAAGTCGCCTCAGGGGCACGTTCTGTCAGCCTGTTATCCCGACATGCTTTCATTTTCTTCTTAATATAAAGCCATCTTGTTTGTTTATGCCTTTTTGTCTGCCTTTTCCTAAGTTCCACGGAAGCAGAAATCCTCTCAGTCCTGTTCCACCTGGGTCCCAGTGCCTGATACATCGGTTCTTAGAGACTTGTTGAAGGAATGAATTACACCCACTTTACAGAAGAGGAAACTGAGGCTCAGAGGGTCACCTGACTGGCTAGGCATCAGAGGCTGATGCAGGTTTCGAACTTGTTTTCTGGTCTAGATATCATTTCTTTATATATTCAACAAACATATACACTGAGTGGCCAGATTATTATGACCTCCCCATCAGTACTTCGTTGGGCCACCTTTTGCCTTCAACACTGCAGCGATTCTTCTTGGCACTGACCCCACTGAGATGTTGAAAGGCCATGCGAGGAATCTGACACCATGCCTGATGAATAGCACTGTCTTCAGGAAAAAAATCACTTCTGTCGTGGCAAACAGCCCGCTTCCCTATTTACAATGGTCTGGCCCTCTGGCAACTTCAGCACGAAATTATAGCTATTTTGCCTACAACGTCAGGTGGTCATAGTAATCTGGCCATTCGGTGTATAGTCCCTAGTCAGTCGGGTCCTAGGGATTTGATGGTGAGCAAAAAGCTAGACAACCTGTGAGCTCTTCAAGTTTCCGGTCTGGCAGAAGAAGCACAAATCATAACTAATGACACAAATCCCGGTTTAATTACAAACGACTTAGTGTTATGTAGGAGCAGTATGTGGCAAGGGTGATGGCACATCTCTGCATGGAATAGGCTCCTTGAGAGCCCTTCCGGCCAGGTCTCACACAGTTGCAGATTCCTGGAAAGATATTCAGGGCAGAATGTGAGGTGGGGAGCTGTGGCAGGAGCTATTTACCAATCAGTCTGGAGGCATTTAATTATGAGTACTACTGGTTGTCTGGTATGTAGTACTCTAAGAGTACATCGCAAGGAGATCCAACTTCACCCGAGTAATATAGGAAGGCTTTTCTCAGAGATGATCTTTGCCCTAAAAGATTAGATGTAACCTGGCAAGAACATTAGGGTAGGAAAGAGCAAGCAAGAGGATATAGCAAGAGCCCTGTACCCAAATGATTACAGCAATATTAGTAATATTAGCATTATAGTGAATTGATAGGAAGCATGGATAATCAAGTAAAGATATTCAAAAGCATTTAGGAGTACCTTTAGTCAATCACTCATGCTTCATATCAAAATGTATTATCTTTGCCAGGCCAACATGGCTCAGTGGTTGAGCATCAACCTATGAACCAGGAAGTCACAGTTCAATTCCCAATCAGGACAATTGCCCAGGTTGTGGGCTCAATCCCCAAGTGGAGCATTCAGGAGGCAGCCAATCAATGATTCTCTCTCAACATTGATATTTATGTTTCTCTTTCCCTCTCCCTGTCTGAAATCAATTTTTTTAAGTTCTTTTTTTTTTAATATATTTTATTGGTTTTGTACAGAGAGGAAGGGAGAGAGATAGAGTTAGAAACATCGATGAGAGAGAGTCATCGATCAGCTGCCTCTTGCACACCCCCCACTGGGGATATGCCCGCAACCAAGGTACATGCCCTTGACCGGAATCGAACCCGGGTCCCTTCAGTCCCCAAGCCGATGCTCTATCCATTGAGCTGAAATCAATTTTTAAAAAATGTTTAAAAAGAAGTGTCCTTATTTTATACATGAGGACATTAAGTTTCCAACAGACTAAGTGAATGTTATAAGTAGCAAAGCCAGCAGGTCCAGGTTCAAATCCTGATTCTGCTAGGAATTAGAATTAAATGAGATATGTAAAGTTCTTGACACTCCTAGCACACTAGCATGTGCTCAATAAATGTTAGTGATTTCTGAGTCCCTTTTGATTAATGTCAGTATTCAATTAATGGCAGTTATTGTCAGCATTACCTGAAGGACATTTTGGCTGCAGGACAAGACATTAGTGTGGAGCACATGTGTCAAACACAAGGCCCGCGGGCCAAATCCGTCCCGCCAGGCCTTGCAATGTGGCCCGCACCGCGCTGTCATCACTGCACTCCGCTGCGTTTCCATCACAATGACAGTTTATGACTGTTCAGTAAACCATTCGGCCCGCGATTTAGGCTGGATTTTAGATTTTGGCCCCTTCTCTGATTGAGTTCGACACCCCTAGTGTGGAGGATGAAATCAGTGGAGAAAGCCAAGTCAAGAAGAGCATCAAGCCCTGACCTGTTTGACTCAGTGATAGGGGTGTCGAACTCAATCAGAGAAGGGGCCAAAATCTAAAATCCAGCCTAAATCGCGGGCCGAATGGTTTACTGAACAGTCATAAACTGTCATTGTGATGGAAACGCAGCGAAGTGCAGTGATGACAGCGCGGTGCGGGCCACATTGCAAGGCCTGGCGGGACGGATTTGGCCCGCGGGCCTTGTGTTTGACACATGTGGGATAAAGCATCGGCCTACGGACTGAAGGGTCCCAGGTTTGATTCTGGTCAAGGGCATGTATTTTGGTTGTGGGAAGAGCATCGAGTGCTAGACCAGGAGTTTGGACCTGGTTCTGGAAACACAGCATATCATAGAAGGTTTCTGAGCAAGGGCCTCTGAAGTCAAACTCATCTACCCTCCCGAGAGACAGCTCCCAGAGAGGTGAGACAGGACCATGTGATGGGCTCACAGTACATTCTTGTCCCTGAGAGGGAGCTAGCCAAGGTCATCTGGGTCAGATTAAGCCTTGTCTACAAAGAGCCAAAAACCAAAAAAAAAAAAAAAAAAAAAAAAAAAAAAAGAATTTCCATCTAGAAGGAGAAATATAGCTTTAGAGACTGTAATAGGCATCTTTTTTTTTTAAATATATTTTATTGATATTTTACAGAGAGGAAGGGAGAGAGATAAAGAGCTAGAAACATCGATGAGAGAGAAACATCGTCCAGCTGCCTCTTGCACACCAATGTACATGCCCCTGACCGGAATCGGACCTGGGGCCTTTCAGTCCGCAGACCGACGCTCTACCACTGAGCCAAACCGGTTTCAGCTGTAATAGACATCTTTAAGCAAAGTGTTTTAATATGTAATCTCATTATCACAGAAATAAATTGTGAGTCTCCTCTCCAAAAACAAAACTAAAATTCAAGGCCTGAGTTTTCCAAATGTATTACAAGTTTAACTCAAAAATGGTGTTAGGTCTCAGCTGCTTTGAGGAACTCTAGTTTCTTTATAGGACACAACTACAAAAATAAATTTTATATTTTATATTTACTTATTTATATTTCTTTTTTCTTCTATAAAGGCATTATTGGAGCGATTGGCAAAATGTAAATAAGGTCTGTAGACTAGATAAAGAAGTGAATGAATATTCATTACCTGATTGTGATAAATGTACTGTAAGACAATGTTCTGGTCTTTAGGAAATAAACAGTGAAGGATTTAAGAGTAGAGACCTCATGTCCGCAACTTACTCTCAAATGGTTGAGAAAAAGTTATAGAGAGGATGACAAACCAAAAGTGTCAAAATGTTAACACTTGAAGAATTTGGGTGAAGGGTATTTTTCTGATGAAACCTATATAATTTTATTAACCAATGTCACCCTAATAAATTCAATAAAAATCTTAAAAATAAATTTAAGGGCGGGGACCGGTTTGGCTCAGTGGATAGAGTGTCGGCCTGCGGACTGAAGGGTCCTGGGCTCGATTCCGGGCAAGGGCATGTACCTTGGTTGCGGGCACATCCCCAGGAGGGAGTGTGCAAGAGGCAGCTGATTGATGATTCTCTCTCATCGATGTTTCTAACTCTCTATCCCTCTCTCTTCCTCTCTGTGAAAAATCAATAAAATATATATTAAAAAATAAATTAATGTTATCAAGTATCCAATAGCATGTGTGATAACATTTTTAAAAAAATAAACAAACAAATTTAAGGAATCAATGATGTTAAACAGAAGGTAGAAAGGATGGAGGGAGGTGGGAAGGTAAGCTGGAAGAAAGTAGGAAAGGAAGAAAGGGAAATAGGCAAATTGCATCGCATGCAGCAAATGTTAGCAAGTGATTTCAAGCTCCAGCAAAACAAAAAATAAAACTACACATACAATAAATAAATAAATAAGTAAACAAACAAATAAATAAAAAAGATGCAAGTAAGACCAAGGAGAAATAGTAATAGATGTTGGCTTCACAGAACAGATTCCACCTCACGACTCCTTTTCCACTAGCTGGGTGGCTTGGGTTTATTATGGGAGTCCTCAGTCTCAGTTCCCTTACCTATAATCATGGTGACCACAGCCTCACTCCGGGGCTGCTAGGAGGGTTCTCCAGCATAGCAATAAAGCAGTGCCGTTTGCTCAGCACTCTGCTGTGCGCTTCACATATGCTGAATCATTTGGTTCACACATCAGCCTTAAGAGGTTGATATCATTTATCACTGTTTTATTGTTGGATAAACTGAGGCAGAAAGGCTATGAAAACACCTAAGGTCACAACTCAGGAGGGGATAAAGCTAGAATGGGCACCCAGCCAGGCTGCAGAGAGGAATCAAGGACCAGGCGGGGAACAGAGGAAGCAGGTCCCAGAGAGGAAAGGGGAAGGTTTAAAAGAGAAACCAGTGAACATGGCGGGGGGGGGGGGGGGGGGGGGGGGGGGTGTTGTGGGGTAATAATAGGGAAGGAGAGAGGGAGGCAGGGTTCAGGCTCACAAGGAAAATGTGAAGAGGGGGGAGGAAGGAGGAGTAAGAAGGACACAGACGAGGGGAATGGAGGGAGGGAGGGAGAGGGGCATGGGAGGTTCAAAGGGAGGAAGGGAAAGAAAGCAGGAAAGAGAAGTATGCTCAAATTGGGTGAGGCCAGGAAAATAGTTAAATAAGAAAAAGAAACAGAATGTGAGAGAGGAGTTTAAAAGGAGGAGTTAGTAAGAAAATTAAGTTCAGGGTGTTTTTTTTTGTTTGTTTGTTTTTTTTAAATGTAGTCAAACATTCCCTGAGGACTCCCGGACTATGAAAGGGCGCAGGCTTGGCTGAGGCTCCCCCACCCCCCCCACCCAAATTTCATGCACCGGGCCTCTAGTTAATACATAATAAATAATGAACATGTTAGTAAATATGGCATGTTACCATCACTTCCAGCACCCATTCACACTGTTAATGGCTCCACATATCACAATACCATCCAGTGCATGTGAGGGCTTGCTCATGCCAGGCACTAGGCAAAGCACTTTCTTTACCCAGATCATGCCCAAGAACACCCACAGTAGCCCTAGGAAGTAGATAGGATTTATGATCCCCACCTTTTAGAGATAAAAAGAAAACCAAACAAAAAATCCAAGCATCACCTGCCCAAAGAAATCCTGGAACTATGCCAAAACCTTCAAGATTGCTTCATAAAAGGCCCTCAAGTGCGGAACATTCATCCCCTTGCCACTGAGCCTGAGATCACTTGTTACCAACTCTCGCTATCTTGAGAAAACTCATAAAGAATTGCTCCCCTGACCGGTTTGGCTCAGTGGATAGAGCGTCGTCAGCCTTCGGACTTAAGGGTCCCAGGTTCCATTCCAGAAAAGGGCATGTTCGTTGGTTACGGGCACATCCCCAGTAGGGTGTGTGTAGGAGGCAGCTGATTGATGTTTCTCTCTCATCAATGTTTCTAACTTTCTGGCCCTCTCCCTTCCTCTCTGTAAAAAAAAAATTAATAAAATAATAAAATAAAATAAAAAAACTGCCCCCATAGAACAGGCCTCCCCTAGTCTGCCCCACAAGCAGGTTAGGACCAAGGCCCCTCACCTGGAAGGCTCGTCCATCTCCTCTCTTGGAGTTTCGAGGCCGGGGCTGTTTATTTTGCTTCATCCTGTCCTGGCATTTGGTGCAGCACTATACACAAGATGGCTTAACAGGACACTAAGGTCCCTGGGGTCTCACTACCTCAGAGGGGAGTGCCAACCAGCTCACTAATTGCCAACTGTCTCACCATAGCAACTCACACCTGGGAGAGGGACAGAGAGTTTCAAGCCCAGCAGCATTTAAAAATAATATTTGGTTTCTCATTCTCCACTCCAAATCTGAGCCGTATCATTTAGAAACTCAATCTGAAGGCGCACACTACAATCATGGAGGTGGCTAGGATTATAATCCATTTTACATGTGAAGTAACAGAGGCTCAGAGATACTCAGTCTAAATAATGCTTAACTGATACACTACATGGGCATCACCCATTTACACATCTTTCTCCCTTCAATCTTTGTAGACTCCTTTCCCCCGACTACGCTAGAGGTAGTGATATTACCGAAAGGGGGCCTGGCCCTCAGGGTCTGCCTAGGGCTGGCCAGTGGTGTGTGGGTTCTTGAATTCTTGCAGGAAATATATCACAACAAAAGTCTGTTTTTTTAAATATATATATTTGTATTGATTTCAGAGAATAAGGGAGAGGGAGATGGAAACCTCAATGATGAGAGTCATTGATCGGCTGCCATCCACAGGCCGATGTTCTATCCCCTGAGCCAAACCAGGCAGAGGAAGTCTTAGTGATTTTGAGGGTAGACTTATTGAAAGGTGGGGACAGTGAAACAAGGAAGGCTTAGCACAGAACAGGGGAGCCTCCGCTGGGCTGCTTTGCTTCTCTAACTTATAGGAAAGAAAGGAGCTGAGGCGGGGCTGCCTTAGCTCACCAGGAAGTCAGAGGAAAGGGGGTTATGGAGACTGATTTAGGGGGTTAGCCGCTGCCCATTACTCCCCTGGGGTTCCTTAAGAGTTTAGAAGATGCATGCCTGAGGGGTAAGAGGAAGCTTTAGCTCACCTGGGACCTTCATTTTGAGGGTTTTTAAAGGCTGGGAGTTTTGGGGAGGTCTTAGGGAAGCTTAGCTTCTATGCTAAGCTCTTTCATATTCCCAATAGAATATTCATGTCTTATGCTGATATGCTTAAATGAGATTTATTCCCTTCATCTGTCCTTGGCTGTGGTTGGCACAAATGCCAGATTATTTCTGTTATCTCCGAGTACTGTGACTTACGCTATTTACAGATTGGGGAGAAGTATATAAACTACTTACATTTTTAAAATCTACATTAAAAAAATTTTATTTATGCCCTCGCTTGTCTGGCTCAGTGGATAGTGTCAGTCTGCAGTCTGCAGATTAAAGGGTCCCAGGTTCAATTCTGGCCAAGGGCATATGCCTAGGTTGCAGGATCAATCTTCCCTAGTAGAGGGTGTGCAGGAGAGCCAATTGATGACTCTCTCATCGTTGATTTTTCTCTCTCCCTTCCTCTCTGAAATCAACAAAAGTATTTTCTAAAAAAAAGCTTCCAAAAAATTTCCTTTTAGAAGGAAAAACATCCATTTTTTTCCTTCATTATTCATTCATCAGTTGATTCTTGCATGTGTCCTCACCAGGAATTGAACCAACAACCTTAGTGTATCAGTACAATTCTCTAACCAATTAATTAAGCCCATCTGGCAGGGATTAAGCCATTGTATTCTTGGTTTAAGGAAGATAGGATTTACTAGATGGATGCAAACTGTCTGGTCATTGAACCGTTTCCCTTTTCCACTTGCCAAGGAATTTTCCTAGCTTCTAACTATCCTATCTCAGTGAAACACCAGGATTATGACATACTCTGGTCTTGGGACACCTGGCTTAGTGGCTGAGAAGGGAGTTGCGATGATAAACTTAGAAGAGCAACAGGCACATTGCTCCTCCCAAGAAGCTAAACCATGGGCAGCTATGTTAGAATCATGGGGCCATCCCAACCAGTCCTTTCCCTGGGCCAAGTCCCCCCATGAATGTGGCCAAACTGTAACATGACAACATGGGAGCAGTGGAAACAGGTGCTAGAGTAGCATAAAGACATGGAAGACAACAAGCCTTTAAGATTCCAGTCACTTATGTTTGAAGCTAAGATTTAGAAACCCATTTACTAGCCCAGTGTGGTCTCTGACCCAGAGGCATGGAATTCTGTCTCCACTATACACATTCAATGATTCGAAAACAAGATGGGTCCCAGAAATCTCTTGAATAAGCTTGCCTGTCGGGGACTACACTGGAGCTTGGAGACCAGGGCCCTAGAGCTTGCCTGCTTAGGCACCCAGGTATTCACCGTGCTTTGGATGACTGACCTACCTCAGCAGCCCACCATCCCCACCCATCTGACCAGCAAAAAACACACAAAGGACACTAGACCGTTATAGAGAAATACTGATTTTAATCCAACATAAGGTAAACAATAGGCATCCCTTATCTTTCAGCCTAAAAATTAACAAAAAAAACTGTTGAAACAAGGCACAATTTACCCCCATCCTTGTTATGTGACTCCAGTCACACACAAAAAACTTCTATGAAAATGGTAAAACAAAAATAGAAGTCTGAGTTTTAAAAAATGTATTTAAAAAAACGCCCACAAAACCTGTCAATATTATTCCTTATTCTACAAAATAGCACCAGTAAGAAGAGTAAAAGGTGTTAAAAACCATTACAACAGCATTTCTGAAATGCAGCTTGCCCACCTCATGTTATCCCTACAAAAGAATTATCATGGAATAAAAAAGGACTTTAAAAAATCTCTGGAAGGAGGGTCACACTGTTATTCAGTTTCCCCCTGCAATCTCTTAGATACAAGGAATGTGCTTCTGCCCCTGGCTATCGCTGCTTCTCTTCTGAGAAAGACCAAGGAGCTAGGGTCATACTTCCAGTCTGGGGGACTTGTATCTGTGAAGTCAGGAAGGTGCATTCGTGTATTCGTGTTTGTGTGGGGGTGGGGAAGTCCTTACCCAAGCATCCTCTTTCACTCCTCACATGGGAGATAGTGAGAGGCCATACCTACCTTCATAATATGACCCAGCCACTCCTTCCTTCCTGAACTGCCTAAAGGGTTCTCTTGCAGTCACTGCGAGGGATGTAGCTAAAAGTGACCCTTCCTTCCTTGTGTCTAGAAGGGAAAATAGCCCTGAAATTATCACCAGTGTGGACAATACTCTCAATGGGCCCCAACAGTGCATCCCAGCCCTTTATACTAAGGTGAGGGGAACATGCTGGGTAAAATTCAAGAATGGCAGACATCATTTCCAAATCTGCCCTAGAAAAAAGCATCCTGGTCCATTAAAACGGCCCTCAGCTACAACATGTCTACCACTGTACACTCCTGGAAACAATCTGCTGCAGACGCTTAAAAAATAAAAGTATTGCAGTCACTGTCTCGGTTAACTTTTCAGCCTTAACCTGAGTGTGGGAGAGCAGTCAGCACTGTGGTTTTGGTATATTAGCTATTGTTTCTGAGCGGTAAACCCAGGAGGAGGGGGGTGGGAAAAAGCAATCTTTACTAACTACTTCAAGTTTCAAAGTTTTAGAAGACAAGATGAGCACCGTGTTTGGCCATTTCAAGAGGGCCAAGTTGAATTGTGCGCAAGGAGGTGGTACCCGGGCACCCCCTGCCAGGAGGGTGTCGGGTGGCTGTGGCCCAAGATCCATGCTGTGGCCCCAACACAATTGAGCTAAAGGACAGAGCCTGGGATGTACCTCCTGGGCCCCAGCTCTGTCCCCCGCACTCCAGTGCCCCAGAGTGGCTGGGGGACTATTCACAGGCAAAGTAGTCCTTCAGGGGGGCGAAGAGGTGTCGGATGACAGGCACGCTCCAGGACCTCCCGAGCAGCTTCTGGCGGGCAACACGGCCCATGTTGGACACATCCGTGTAGTGTACAGGAAAGCCGAAGATCCTGGGGGCACCAGAGTAAAGAAGACAGGAGTCACACCTCCCACCTGCAACTACTTAGTGCCCATGGGAGAGCCTCTCACCATGGCCAAGAAGGCACCAGGCGCCACTCTCTGTCCTTTGTCCGGGCCCACTCTATGAGCCCTCTTATTTTAGAAAAGACACTATTTCATTCTTTTTACTTTTTCATTTTTATTAGATTTTTAAAGAATATACCTTCGTCCACTTTACTCATGTGCACATGAGCATCTCCTGACCCCCAGAGGTCAGGTGCAGGGTTCTTTCAGAACACAAATGTTAAGTCACGAGGGGCATGGCACCTCCAGGAGGGTACCTGCTCTGTGCATCCCATCATCTCCCCATAACAGGTAACAACCAAATATACCAAAAGCCTCCCTTATGGGATTTTATCAGGCCTGGTAAGGAGGACCTTATTCTTATCCAGATTCACCTTAACACTAAAATTCTCATCAATGGGCCAATGTTGAATGGGTATCAAAAGAAATATGTATTTGCAGGTCCAGAGGCTTCTGTCTTAATTTGTCTACATAATAGAGAGCCATCTGCACCAATTCTTGTATCACAGGTCTGGCCTGAACATGTTAGGCTTGGGCCTTAAAATATAATAGACCTATGAATAATATAGGGGAGGTTAGGGATGCTGATGTCCCATCTCCATGCAGTTGAAAATCCAAATATAATTTTGAGTCTCCCAAAACATAATTACTGGTAGGTCAGTGTGTTGTCCAGAAGCCTTAGTGATAACATGATCAGTCAATTTTATGTATATATTTTATGGTAGAAAGTGATAAAATGACATAAGTACCTACATATTTTATTCATTTTTCGCATACCTTTTTTTCATTTTTAAAGTATTTCTAGATTACATGATTCATCTGTGATTTTTTTGTCACAAATTTCTGAAAATGTTCCAATACTTATTGAAAATAATCTGCATATAAATGGACCAACAAAGTTCAAACTTATGTTGTTCAAGGATCTACTGTACAGAGTAATCCATAGGACCCGATTGTTTCTACTAATGAGAACTTTTGTACTAAGAACACTACTGTTTAGTAAAGAATAAAAGTGGTTGTAGAACTGAAATATCGGGAATAAAAATACTGCCTATCAAATCATTCAAGACAAAGCCAAAAATGTAGAGGGACCTCTATAGCCCTTCTTATATCTTTAACAGAAATACTCTAACAAAAATAAGATAACAAGAAAAACAAAAGGAATGAGAAAAACAAATTGAAACCAGAATAAAAGAATTGAAACTTAGAAGTTGGTTCTTTGAATCAAAATAGATAAGCAACCAAACTTAGCCAAACACAGATTTGTGACTCCGTGGGAATCAGCTATAGAAGAGCAGCTTGGCAGAAGGAAGATTTCTGAGAAAGAGCAATGGCATGTTGGTGGGGTTTTCTTTAGCTGGCTCCTTACATCCCAGTGTCCCAGCATGTTGAGGCAGGCAGATGCATACTGTGCTGGTCTAATGACCTCATGTTTCAGATTCCTCCTCACCACCACCCTTCCGCCACTTATGGCAGGAAATAAGGACTAACTCTGAAGAGGTATTCCTCCCAGCCCCGCTAACATGGAAGGCCAGTGGGTCCATGTAGCATGAAGGCAAGCAAGGCTAATCTGTATTGCTGGCCTTGACCACATTTCTTCCCCTTCCTCTCTGCCTGCATCATTCCCTTTCCACATGCAGCCTCGCTCACCTTTCTAGCTCAGTGCACCACAAAACATCTTCTTTGCCATTCATGACAACAGGGAAAAGTTGGTTTTTCCCCTGTCTGATTGAGTTCGACTTGGTGGTTATTGTCTGTACCTTCTTTAACTGGAGAACAAAATGACATCATGCAGTGAGCACGGAATGAAGGATTCTGGGGATGAATCAAGACTCAGATGCACGAGGGAAGATGGGGAATGGAGGCAGGTGGGAGAAGGTGGCAGTGCTGGGCTCGCAGAGAGAATAAGAAAAGGAGAGTTGGAAGAACAAGGACATTTTGTGCTTCCCACAAGCGCCAAGAAGTTAATGCACAGAAAGGATCAGCCTCAGAACCAGAGATAAAAATGTGCCCGTGAGATCACATGGGTGCCAAGAGAACACAACTGATCAAGCAAATTAACTGAAATGTAACAGTTCACCCAAGGTTATAGGGAATGGTCAGCCAAACCAGGATTTTGGCTTGATGTAAACATTAAGAATTAAGTTTATGGACATCTTAATTATCTGTGACTTGACAGCAGATAATTTTTCCTTTGGGCAAAGTATTAATTACTCACTTCTTGGGAGGACCAGCTAAAATTTTGTGTGTGTCTCTATGGCATGTGCATTCAAAATTAGACTAGTTGCCATTTCTCATATAGTGATTATTGTTTATCAAGTACCTCTCCTACTCTGTTCTTAACAGGTAGGACAGAAGAATTATTTGGGGAAAGAGACCCAGCACCAAGGAGTTACGCGTGAGGGAGAGGAGACAGGAACAAACGGTACCAAGATCTAGTCCCGCTTGGAGGTCACCAAGTGCATTTTCCGCAGACTGTTTGTGAGCACCTCTTACCTTTGCTGTCCTATTGAACTCCAAGCAGTCCTGCAGCTCGAGTTTATCATTCTTTGATGCTATCACAGGCCTGGGAACAGCCAAAACCCATTACTTTCTACCATCTGCCAATGGGCCTTAGCTAGGCACCTCCCAAGGTGGGAGTGAGAGCCTAAGCCTGCAAAATGTGCTCTGGCAGCGAAGTGTTACAAATAAATGAATTAGAATATGGTGGAAATGATCCTGGCATAAACACAAGGCTGTGTGGCAAAGTCAGGGACAGACTAGTTAGCCCTCTCTCAAGGGGCAAGATCAGTGTCGAGGACTAAGTGATCCTCTACCTCATATTTTAATATTAGTCAAATTAGGCTCCCACTGAATAGAGCAGGAATGGGGAAGCACACTGGAGTCAGGAGACCCTGTCCGATCCCATCCCGATTACTAACCGAGTGATGATCTGAGCAGTTAAAAAGGACCTAGTGTCTCAGGAGCTTGGATTAGATCTTTGTGGGTCTACATGCTACAAAGAGCATTGCAAAGCCATGATTTGGTGGCTTACTACTAGGGATGCAGCCACGGGAGGGTCTCAAGACTAAAAGTGGATGCAGGTAGGAAGGACAGGAGATGGTTCAAAAAACACTAATTATCCTTGTACCTTTCACCATCAAACAAACCTGCAAATGCAGAGAAAGGCAAATGGGTGCCCAGAGGGGGATAGAGCTTTAGAACTAAAGTGGTTGAGCAGTTCAAGAGCAGAAACCATGTAGAGTGCTATATCCATCAAAACCTCGGCAGCTCCCATGTAAGGAACAACTTCAAGGTCACAAACAAAACAAACATAAGAATGGAAACAAGTGCCCACAAGAGAGGCCATTGAATCATACAAAACATTCCCTTAAGATTCATCAATCTTCCTTGATCTTACCTTTCACATTTCCAATGCCACTCTATTCCCATTCCCTGCTTTTCTTATAATCCCAGGGGGCTGAGGGACTTGGAGAAAATGACAGAAAACATCTAAGGTTTTCCACCTCCAGGCTGGATTTGGCTCTGTGACCCCTGGTTTGTGCTCGAGTCATCATTCTAGAACCCTATCGCGTCAGCTATAGTACTAAGGCTTAATTCTTATCACAGCTCAGAGAACTTTGTGGCATCTTTGCTGACTCTGATTACTGTCTTTTATTCCAGCACATCCAGTGCCTCAGCAAATCCTGCAAGTCCAACACTCACATTATGTAGAATCTGATCCCTCCTGCTAGTTTCACAGCACTGGAGGGAAATACAATGCCTCAAGGTGCAATGTGTGTATGAATGGTACTTCCTGGGCCATCAACAATAATTAGACTCCTCCTCTAAAGGACCATGACCATCTCAAGTTTCTCTTCATTTCTGCCCTCATCCCATTATCAACTATTTTATCAGAAACTACCATGAATCTAGGACACAACTCCTCAGCTTAAAACTTCTTAGAATTCCAAAAGTAGATCTAAGTGGACCCATAGACCCCACATAATTTGGCCCATACTAATGAGCTCTCTGTCCTCCTCTCACAGCACTTCACAAATGAGGAACACAATGCCCTGCAACCCCACCCCTTACCCTTTTCCTTTTGTCAGAATGTCCTCTCAAATGACTATGGCTCCATTCCTACTGTAGGTCCTTGCTGGAATGAGAAGCCTTCCCATCAACTTTTCCAATGCCCTGCCTCCAGCCATTACCCTGAAATCATTCTCTACCCATCCCCCACTAGCATGTTAACTCAGAAAGACTTATATCTGATGTGTTCACCAGTAAACCAACAGTTATGTACAACAGTGACTGCTACAGGAGAGAGTTCAGTGAATGAGCCCACTTCACTCCAAATTCATCTGGCATTCCACTATCCGATTGAGTGGCTACCAAATAAAACCGCAAGATGCCTGGCCATCGTGGCTTAGTAGTTGAACATTGGCCCACGTACCAGGTTAGGCACATGCCTGGGTTTTGGGCTCCATCTCCTGTGGGGAGGATGCAGGAAGTAACCTATGGATGTTTCTCTCTAAAATCAATATATTTTAATTTTTTTTTAAATGCCAAGATGTCCAAGGAGAAATCCTCCAAGCTATACCAGTACCTTCTCACCTCTCTACATTTTGCTAAATGGCCAGAGTTATTTATGCTTTCCCAACACTTACTTCTAAAGGAGAATCTTTATAAGCTTAAAACTTATTTGCCAGTCCAGAAAATCAAATTACCATCACGATTTTGTATCTTAATTAGAACACCACACAGCCCTGAAACCATATATGGAATATAATTAATCCTCAGTTATATGAATGGACTAATAAAAAACTGGGAAAAGTTCTTGGCTAAGAAAATTCAAGGATGCCAGGCTTTAGGCTCCCAATTGTCATCTCAGCTTTGCTGCCTGCTCGGTCATATCAGGGAGAAAGGCATGTCTAACACCCTCATCCCTTTCCCAGTGGGACAGGCAACAAGAGAAGAGGTGGGGTATAAAACATGAGTGTCTCCAAAGGGGAGAAGATGCCTGTCTGCTCCGGCACATGGCACTGTAAGAACCAGCCCCCTGGGCAGAGCAGGAAACAAGTTGGAGCAAACTGAGGAATCTTGGCCCAAGACTTCCAGGCTGTATATCTTAACAGATGTCAATCTATAACACCAGAGATTGGTCAGAAGCCCAGGATGGCTCTGTCATACGTGAGTAAACCAGACAGAGCTCACACCATTAGATGCATTTCACTTAGCAGTTATCTGTCCCACACAGAGCCCTGTGTTACCTGTTCATCCCGGGCAGGTTGCCCCAGAAGTATCGGGCCCTGTGAGCAGCAGACACTTTGATGGCATCAATCATCACTGGATTACACTGTAGGGAGACAGAACAACAACTAGCTGCTAGGAGCCCACAGCAGAATCCAGGAAGCAACCAGAGTGGGACAGGTAACAGGGCTGCTCCTTGGCTATCAAGGACACAAGATTCCTGGCAGCCAAGGGACAGACCAATTCTCAGCAAGAATCTGGCTGGAGGCATAGCTAGTGCCCCATATAAATGGTGGGAAAAGAGACCAGATCAGACCTGAAAGTTCTGAGAAGGTATGGGCTGGGGCGCAACTGATTATTATGATGCACAGGTGACAATAACAGCTCAGGACAAAAACCTGGAAAATCAAGGCCCCATTGTGGGAATGCAGTGTTGGCAACATGACGCTCCGTGACACCCAGCTGTCAGGTTCACACAGCATGAGAGAACTAGCTAGCCAGTTCTACAATTGTTCTCACTGATAAGTTGTAAAGCTTTGGGGAAAATTAAATGACGTTGTAAATGTATAAAAAAGTATTACAACACTTAATGCATATTAAGGATTGGATAATGAATTTTCTATGTGCCCTAAAGAAACAATTTTCAGAATAAGGATTAAAAAACTCTCTAGAGTAAAAATCGGAGTCAAATCTCATGAGATCTCTAAAAGTGATGGTTTGTTTCATCATCCAACTTCAATAGGTGCGGGATGAACTCAGAGATCATTTTCTTTTCCCCTCAAAAATATTTGAACCAAAGGATATTGAACAAAAGAGACTCCAACAACTTGACTCCATCATTCTGGACATAGGTCTTCAGTCAAATTCCCAAACGGAATTCACAACATAGAAATCCCCCACCCTCAGTGACGGCAGGGCCTTCCCTGCTCACGTAGTCTTGACCATCAGGACCCTAGGTCCCCTCACCTCTAGGAAACGACAGATGTCCCTCTTGTCACCAACCTTCATGGCTACCACGTTCTCAAACATCCAGAAGAAGGGCCGGTCGTCACCTTCCTTGGGCCTTGCGTAATTCAGCAGGTGGTAGAACTCGAAGAAAAGTCGGCCTGTGCCCTCTGAGCCCACAAAAGAAGATGGCTGGCTGGGGTCAAAACCACCCCTCCACATTGCAACCAATGGGTTCCCAGAGATCACCTAACTGAGGCTGGTGCCCTACATTCCCTTAATCGGCAGTGCCATGTTTTTTTTAAGTATCTTGTGGGTCTGAGGCTTCACAGTGTGACATGGACAGAGCTAACAGGTAAGGCTGGCAAGAAGCTAAGAGCTCCTGCTCAGCGCACTCTTGCACCAACACTCAGCTGACATAGGGACTTCTGGGGCTACTAAACGAAGGCATACTCACCATATAGGCCTTTCCTGGCGGGATTCACATTTGAGAGGTCATTGCATGGGCTCCCACCAATTACCAAGTCAAAGGGACCCCATTCTTCAACCTGTGAAAGAAAAACAGTATTCTCACAGGAGGACAGGAGCAAGAATGGAGGGACAGACAGCCTGGGTTCCAGGTAACCTATCAAGATAGCTTGCCTGCTATGATCACAGGTTACCTTTACCCACAACCTGGGCATGGCTGTGAGGTTGTGTGGGGTTCAGGGCCTGGAGGAGGAGGGTGTTATAAAAGCCCCCAAGGGTGCAGGCTGTCCTCACGTTTTTCTTTGTGATGTTCCTGACATCGTTCACGTATTTAATATTGCCTTCGTGCTTAACAGTTCCAACGGCGATAGACTCTTCACACACTTCAGAGGCGACATACTTCTCTACTTTGATCCCCAATTCTTTGAGGACTAAGTACCCTGTGTGGGATTAGGGAGACATAAAATACACTCAGGGTCATCTTGCCTCCAGTGATTCTAAGTCATATCCAAGAACTCACACCAGACCCAAAAAGTACATTGTAGCCCTCACGTGAAATTCTGCAGATAGCACAAACTCGCTGAAACAGCAGAGTCCTTAGAGGAGAGAGTTTTTTTTAAGAAAACAGACATGTATCAACTATTACAGACCACTGGTAGAACCTATTAAAACTGACATGTCTAGCACTGGCTGGTTTGGCTCAGAAGATAGTTGTAGGCCAGTAAACAAAAGGGTCCAAGGGTTCAATTCTGGTCAAGGACATGTACCTCATTTGCAGGATCGATCCTTGGCCCAGATTGGGGTGGTGGGAGGCACCAGTGGATGTGATTCTCTCATGTTTCTCTCACTCTTTTCACCCTACCCGTCCCTCCCACTCTTTTTTGTTTTTAATATATTTTATTGATTTTTTTACAGAGAGAAAGGGACAGAGTTAGAGAGCTAGAAATGTCGATGAGAGAGAAGCATTGTCCAGCTGCCTCTTGCACACCCCCTACCAGGGATGTGCCCGCCACCAAGGTACATGCCCTTGACTGGAATCGAACCTGGGACCTTTCAGTCTGCAGACCGACGCTCTACCACTGAGCCAAACCAGTTTCGGCCCCTCCCACTCTTATTAAAAAAAAAAAAAATTAATAGAAAAATATCCTTAGGTGAGGATTAACAACACACACATACACACAAACAAAAACAACAACAAAAAAAAACCTGACAGGTTTACAACCCAGCACAATCAAGCACAGACACAAGGAGAGGGATCTTCACCAAAACCATGTTTAGAAAATAACCTCCAAGTCAGGAGACAATGGCCAAGGCTCCATTTTCAACTGTGGGTTACCTGTGCCAGCATACACAGGTGCGGAGGATGCAGCAGGGCAGAGAAAACAAGCAGCTAGCCATGACCCTGAGGGTCATTAAAAACTGTCTGCTTTAGGCAGGTGGACACTGGTAGACACACACAAGTACAATGATGCTAAATGCATAGCACTTTATCCCCACTGCTTCCTGCTCTGGCAAAATGGAGATATTCCTACATTCCAGAGCAATTTATAGCATTAAATGTGTTAAATTAGGAAAAGCTCCTCCAAGGGTGACATGCTTGTTGGATATGCTTATTCTACACATGTGGAAACTGGAGGAATGGGAGGAAAAAAAAATGGATATTAATAGGAGTTGTCCGTTAATCTCCAATATATCCATGTTATCCAGTAAAAATAATTTTCCAAGATATCTACATATAATACAATGTAAGACACGAAATATGTGTATGACTTTTAAAAGAAACAAGAGGACCAAAGCGGGTGAAATACGTGGTGGAGAGGATTTGAGGAGAGAAACAGGAAGCCATTGGTTTTCTCAAAACTGCTGACTGACAGATAATCCCAGTGGTCTGGCTTGGCACTGAGGACAGACACCTGGACCAGGTGAGCATCCCAAGGTGAATTCCAAACTCACCTGTGGCAATTCCATCAAACAGGGACAAGACTCGAATGGGCCGCCTTCGGGCTGCAGGAATCGCAGGGTATAACTTGGGGGCCTCCTGCCAGGTTAAAGAAGGTCATGGAGGTCAAGGTGCAGGGGGAAAGGCTCAACCTCTGGGCGAGCTGACCTTCCTCTGAGGAACTCGAACCCTGTGTTCTGCCACTTCTTAGCAGGGATCCCCTTAAGAGCTTTGGCACAGACTGGCTAGTCTACCCTTAAGACATGGAACACAGAGACTTTGAGACAGATGCATACACACAAAAGGACATGGCACCTTAAACATCAAGACCTGGGACTGCCTCACAGACCTGGTAGAATGGAGCCCATGAAGATCCACTCCCACTACAATTAAATACTATGTCACGGGATTCTCTTTCCTTAGAAAACCCACAAAGGAGAGAAAGACCACAGGGAAAGCCTGAGGACTGTACAAAGGACATATCAATTAGCCCTGTCTCTGAAGTAGGAGCAACTCAGCCAGTCATTTGTATAATGGACCTCTTTATGAAATCTTGCCAATAGACTTCGAGGGCATTGCAGTCCCGACTCCCTGGGGTAGGAGGTGCTAGGAGGAGCCCGTGGCTTACGTATTCAAGATCAGGGTCACTGGTGAAAAAGGACTGCAGGCGAACATTCCAGTCCTTCCGGCGCTGCAGGACCCCGTGACAGCGCTGCGGGAGGCACATGTAGCAGCTCCAGGGCTCTTGCAGCTTGGCATCGGCTGCTGTGCCCGAGCCCACCAGCAAATCCAGGCACTCCACACAAAAGCACCTGCGGCCAGGAGCGGAGAGAGGACATCAGGCCTTTCTCCTACATCCAGAGTCCTCCTTCCCAGGTAGACAGTAGTAATGCACTGCCTAAAAACCAGCTGCTTCTCCCCATGGGCAGAACGGCCCCACAGTGTGATGTGGGATACACTAACGTCTTTTTCCTAGGATATCAGTACCCTCTGTGCACAGGCTCTGCACAGCAAAGGATCTCTACCCCTCAAAGTGGCTATTCTCCCGGGAGGCTTCCACAACTCAGGCACCACCATCGGACATTTCTGTCTTACTTAAATAGATGAGAACCACAGCCCCTGCGGAGCAGCAGTAACTCTGGGCCCCTGTCCTCAGGTCCACTGGACTCCCAGCCGCTGGGCCTGAGTTTATTTGGCTGTAGGAATCACAGCCATGATGTGGGAGCCTCAGGGCCCTGCTGGGTCTCACCCACAGGGCTAGCCTAAAGCTCACCGGCAGCAGCTTGTGTTGCTGCACAAGAGCAGCTCGCGCCCCTCACAGCACACGGTGCAGTAGGACTGATAGCCATCATCATCATACATGTAGAACAGCTCGAGGAACCGGTCCTGGCGGCCAGAGAGAAACACTCATAAAACAGAGACCAGGGCCCACTGGGCCCGCTGGCTCGAAGGACAGGTCATTGGTGAACAACTTGCTGGAGTGAGCGTGCCACTGCAGATGGCTTCCTCTGTGGCAGCACTGCCCTCAGAGGGGAGGGGAGGGTGATGGTGGCCAGGGAGGGCTTCCCTAGAACCTTTCCCAATGGCAGGTCCTTTTTTCTGGGGGAAAATAGGGAAGCTGTGTGGAGGGAAGGAGCAATAAAGTCCAGGGAGGGCATAGACTTACCCGACATGTCTGACAGAGCCCCCCCTCAAAGAGAGGGTGGAAGGACACGGGGTTTTTCCTACCGCAGGACAAACAGCTGTCTGTAAGAAAGCATGCACGCAGCTTGTGACACCTCAGGACCAGTAACAGCTGGTAAAGCCTCGGGTCTATGGTTCTTGGGGTCTATGGTTCTTGAACACTCGTTCCATGTTAGCAATATACCGAGGTCTCTTCACGCTTTATTCCTTTCAACAATCCTTCCACGCAAACAGACCCACTCCCAACGTGGGACACACACTGAGCAAGGGCCCCTCCAGCACAAGGACAAGCAGCAGAGGCCTGGCACACAGATCTCTGAGACTCTTCAAAGACTAGGTCTCTGGGACAATTGGTGGTGACACCAATTTGCTCACTGTCACATCATGAAAGAACTATCCAGTGACCAGACTCTACACACAGCCATAATCACAGTTTCAGACCCCAGGTGGTTAATTATTGGACTACCCTGACTTCCCTTCATTATCAGCAGGCAGGACAGAGTAGACAAGCAGGCAAGGCCCAGAACGACCTAAGACGGGAAGGGAGGACTTTGAGGGAGAGTATTACCATTACCTTCCAGACTGCTCTTATTGTTGGCAACATCCAAAGCCATTTGCTCTGTTGAGAAAAGAAGGTGAGACATGGGGTCAGGGAGCCTCTTACTGACCCATTAACACCTGCTGAGCTGTCCTCACAATGTGCCCTCCCAGTAAAGGGTATTCACGGCCCCTAAATCACCTCGGGTCTGGTCCTCCTCTCCTCTGTCTTTGCCATTGTTATAGTTTGTCTTCAGGCGCTTCGGCTGGGGGCAGTAGTCCGCGGAGGTGGTCGAGTCATCAGTGGTGCGTCTGCGCTTCTTGTTCTCTGTGAGGGAAGGACATAGCAGCCGGGCTGGGAGGAGGTGCGGGGAGAACATGGGCCTGGGTGACAGATGCTTTTGGGCCATGACAGGGCCCACCATATGGTCCCACTATGGGACATAAGTCAAAATCCCTCACACATCTAACATGTTTATAGGGTTTTAAAGAGCTTTAGACCCAGCACAAACATTAGGCAAAGGCTAGCCCACAGCTGAAACCCTGAAACATTCGTCTCCAATGCCCAACACAGCGGCTGTTGGTCACTTAAAGCTACTGAGCACTTAAAATGTAGGAATTGCACTTTGCATTTAATGTTAATGTAAATTTTAAGATTACTCCAATTAAGTAAGTTCATTTGGAACTTGGTCAAGTGAAAATTTGGAACTTACACATTTGTGAAAATATAGGTCAAGTTTTTCTAACAAAAATTTCACATCCAAATTAAGATATAAAACATTAAATCTGAGATTTTAAAAACAGTACTAAATGGAAATGTAAAAATAACTTAATTTTCATACTGACTGTTAGAAATGCTTAAATGTTGGAAATATTCGACTAAATTAAATGCATAATTAGTACTGTCTTTGTTTCTTTTACTCTTTTCAATGTGGCTATTAGAACATTCTTTAAAGTATATGATGTGGAAATTCTTTACAGTTCTTTAAATTCCACTTATATATATTCTAGCCCCAATATGTATATATACAGTATAACTTATAACTTATACTGTATATATACATATAAGGGGCATGGTTAAATTTGACTCTGTTCCTAGGGAAAAAAAATTATGCAGACATTAAAAATCATAAGGACTCTTTAGTGACATCTGACAGTGCTCGAATGATTAATATCAAGAAGGGAAAGCAGGAATCCAACTAGTGTACAGAAAAAGTTGGAAGGATGTGCACACCCAACAAGATTAACCTGGATGGAGGACTTGTGAAGGTTGAGAGTGAAGTGGGGGATGAGGTTCAGGTTGAGATTTCTTTTCCAGTGACCTCTGTATAGGCAAAGAAATTGAAAGTGCAGAGAAAATAGTGCATAGACAAAGGATGGGAAGGGAATACCGTATTTCCTTGATTCTAATTTCATACTGCCTGCACGACGCACCTTCGACTTATTAACCACTTTTAATGGGGGAGACAAAACAAAACAGAAAACACTATGTTAAATGTATGAATTATCAGACAAATCATGGATTTCAGGCATCCTGGATTTCCAGAAAGTGATAATGGGAAAACTATACATATCTTATAATGGAGGAATTATGCTATTGGTCAAAATGTTAGAATAAGGTTATGCCTCTTTTGGAGGTGGCTCATGGTTTTGGAGGCTTTTTAAATACTTTCCAAGTTTTCACCAATGAGCAGAGCTCAATTTTTCCTTTTAAAAGTAAAGGTGCTGGTGAAGATTCCATCTTGATCTCCTGTAGATTCAAGTTTATGGAACAGATTGCATCGCAGACCAGCGAAGCCAGAGAAGGTTGGGCTGCTTGTTTTCCCATAGCCCTGGGGTTCACAGGGTGACAGAGCAGGTCTCTAAACCTGACTGGTTGCTGCAAAGCTGGGGTGGGGCAAGGGGCAGGAGGGGTGCTGCATCTCCCCAGGGTGCTCCCACTAGCAATGGCAGTCAGGGCTGCCATAGGGACCCGTTCCCACCTGTTTGCTTGTTGTTGGGTTTGAGGCCCTCGATCCCGGTGGGCTTGAAGCCCCCATGGGCCCACTCCAACATGGGCTTCAGCTGGTCCTCCAATGAGTCTCCGGGGCTGCTGGGGAAGGTCTTGCCAGCCCGCACCCTGGCTTTCTGGCGAGATAAAGGCGAGTCTGTGATGAACAGCAGGGGTGGGTGCTCGCCAGGTGGCACCCAGGGACTCCCCCAGCGGGGGCCTGCATTCCCCTTCACTCTGGGCCCTTTCATAAGCAGGCAGCTGTCCTGGGCATGGAATGTGACAGGGAGGGGCTTGTGCAGGGGAGAGGCGGGAGGCCACGCAGGCTCCAGAGAACTTGAGTGGTCAGCTCCCTCTCAGAGAGCAAAGGATCAGAATTAGCACTGCTACTTTTAGATATAGAAGTATCACCAACTCTGAGAAAGCTCCAGATTTCTTGGTTTATTTTCCTAATGAAGATGGGGAGGTGTCAAGTTTTAGGCCTTATTTAAGAAGCACTAAGATCCCTAACTAAGCAGAGGCTGGTTCGTAAGTGCTGGGCACAGGCCACTGATCTTTTCAGTCCTAAGTTAGGGGAAAGAAAGAGCCTGATAGATCCCACCGACAAGGGGAAAAGGCAGCTGTCCTCAATGGCTGCCTGCCTGGAGGTTTAGCCCAACTGGTGTGGCTCAGTGATTGAGCGTTGACCTGTCTGTCAACCAGGAGGTCAGGGTTTGATTCCCAGTCAGGGCACATGTTGGGTTGCAGACTTGATCCCCGTGGGGGGCATGCAGGAGGCAACTGATCAATGATTCTCTCTTATCATGATGTTTCTATCTCTCTCCCCCGCCCCCTTCATTTCTGACATCAATAAAAAAAATTAATAAATAAAGGAACATTTTGCTAGCTCTAGAAAAGCATTATTCACTGTATAAACATTGTCCCCTACTTTCCAGTGCTCCTCCTCCTTAATTCAGTAAGCTATACTGAGAACCACCAGGGAGAAGCTGAAGTAGTTAGTACTCAGAGTCATATGGAAGGCTTAAAGCCCTTCCTTCCCTTCCCAGTCTGGCCCTCAGGCCAAAAAGTTTGCATTCACCTCCTGCCTGGTGGCCCTGTCCCTTCCAAGCCATCCTTGGTTACACTGTGGCCTGAGCTGGCTTTCTGTATGTCTCTTGCCTTAATCTTGCTCTGGGGGCCAGGTCCTACCCATCCACCACCGTGTTACCTCCAGAGCGTGGTACATGGCCTTCCTGTAAGAGACCAGCTTATTGAAGGTCGCCAGATTAAAGTGCTGGCTGAATAGCCCCAAGGCCACCAGCTTATCTGCAGAGACCTGAAAGAGAAAGACATCATCAACATCCACCTACCCTGCATCTGGGGTGACCCATCTCTTCACAGGAGATATTATTCCAGGAGATCAAGTTCAGATTCAAAAAAAGGGGGCCGAAACCAGTTTGGCTCAGTAGATAGAGCGTCGGCCTGCGGACTCAAAAGTACCAGGTTTGATTCCTGTCAAGGGCATGTACCTTGGCTGCAGGCACATCCCCAGTAGGGGTGTGCAAGAGGCAGCTGATCGATGTTTCTCTGTCATTGATGTTTCTAGTTCTCTATCCCTCTCTCTTCCTCTCTGTAAAAAAATCAATAAAATATATATTTTTTTAAAAAGGGGGGAGGGGGGGAAGTAAAAGAGAAAATAGAAATGATGTATACTTCTGATGCACCCAATAGCCAGAAGCATGGTCGACACTCCCAGTGTGAGAAAGTTTCTGCTCCAAGTGGATACAATTAGAAGCACCCTGTATTTGTACATATTTTAAGGGCACAGGACCCACATGGTCCCTGGTGTGGGCCCCTGGCAGGTGAATCTTGAAATTCTCTGTGGATGCTCCAACATTGGGGTTTTGCAAATGTTCTTCCCTCTCCTTTGTAAATGTGACAAATAGCTATGGTTACTACTTAGCCCTCTATTAATCTGTTAGTTGAACTTATTATGTTTAGAGAACAGTGTTTGGTACAGTGTAAGGGTTTTATTGTTATTGCTATCTTCCTTCCACTGGGGCTAAAGATCCATAAAATCTCATGCCCCAAGTTCCAAGGCCATGCAGGAACCAATCAGGAAGGAATGAAACTGGGTGTTTGGGGTGCTAATCAGACTGAACGACACACATGATACTTCATTCTCCACGGAACATGCTCGCACTCACACACACCTCTAGCCCAAGGTCCCATGAGGTGGGGGTTCCTGACACCAGACAACTCTACATCCATATCTAGGGCTAGAAGAAACGGGGCTCAACGTAGCTGTACACTGAATGCAAATGCTGTTCCCATCGCCAAGCTGCTCCAATGTAGCACGAGGGCTTAGCACCAACCTCACATGGCAATCCCTTCCTTAATGCCAACAGCCCCACGCTTTATCTCATTAGCATCAGACTCAGTCTTCCAAAGTGCATTTTATGTCTCACCAAGCCAAAGCAATCACAAATAATCCATGCTTCTTCATTTCACACAGAATTCATTGCCCACATCCCCGCCTTTAGATGCTTCCAGGAGAGCAGCGACAAGGACACTTATCCTGCTCCCTCTGCTGGCCAACGAGGACACCAGCATGCAGGCAGGAAGACTTGCCCTGTGGGAACTTCAATGTGTTTACAGCAAATGGCCCAAAGGAACCCCAATTCCTAGGAAACCCAAAACCTCAACGTGAGGCCAAATCCCACAAATGTACTAGAGGTCCTTCATTCCCACATCTGCCTCCATCTAATGTGTTCTGTACCCTCACCTAATCTTTGGGCATGCTGGAGGTAAGAGAACATTTCAAAAAGACACCACTCCAGTAGTTGTCTGCAACATTCTACTCAAATCCCGGAGACTTCAGCCCTCGCCGGGCGCTCAATGGTTAGAGCGTCAGCCCCAGGGCTCGTGTGGGAGGCGACTAATCAATGCGTCTCTCTCACATCGATGTGTCTCTCTCACATCGATGTTTCTCTCCATCTCTCCTCCTCCCTTCCACTATCTCTAACATCAATGGACTCAGGTGAGGATTAACAAAACAAAACAAAAAAAAACACCTGGAGATTTCAAAATGTGCCTTCAAAATAGATATAAAGATCACAACAGTCTAATTCATTTGTCTCTAATACCACTCTTATAGGGAAGAATCTCAAGAAAGATGAACTTAAAATGATTAACCCCAATAATTGAAAAACCCTGAAATAACCAACTCTGCAAGGTTGATTACCATCACCAGGCAACTCCAGACCATCTCCAGGCTACTTACAGGCGCCTATCTGCCACCTCTGCAGGGCTAAATTATGTTCAACCTTCCTGTTTCTGCCCCTGTTCAAACGGGAAGGTTGAACATAATTTAGCCCTGCAGAGGTGGCAGATAAGTCAAATATCAGAGGCCGGGGGAAAACAACAGCAGGGACCAAGTGGCCATGGACCCAGAGGACTTCCCATCCATTTGTCTCCTGTAAGGGTAGACGGAGCTCTGGCCCACAAGACTCTGTGTGTGTCTCTTTAAGCCATTTTACAAGAAGACTTGTTATTATCCCTGGATACAGAGTCAAACATACTCTTACCATCTGGAAATAGCAAGGCACAGGCCCTTCCCTCAAAAGGCAGCTGCACAAAGATAGGACAGAGACGCTGTGGGTCTGGAGGCCTATGCCATCTGCTCTTCCCCAGACTCACCTCAGAGAACTTGCCGTCGCCAAACCACTGGACCCACCGCATGCCGGACATGGCCTGGCGCTTGGAGGTGACCTTCCAGGACACGACCATGGCAGGCCACCAGGAGAAGCCCTTGATCTTCCCCCACACAAGGTCCCCTATTCCAAACTCCTTCCCATCCTGCAAGATAAACCACATGAAAGAATCATGAGACAGACTACCTGGGCCAAGAGAAACTCCTGCAGCCCCACCGACCCCAATGGCAAGCAACTGCCTGACGGAGCCAACCAGGGCTTCCTTGGCGTGCCTGCCAGAGCGCCTCAAGACATTACTACCCACCTCCAACACTTCATGGTAGGAAAGGTCGGAGTGAGAATGGCTTAAAACAAGAGGCAGTGGGCCCTTTCCAGGCAGCTCAGTTGGTTAGAGGATTGTCCTGGTCAAATTTCCACCCAGGGCACATATAAGAAACAACCAATGAATACATAAACAGGTGGAAGAAACCAGTTTTTAAAAAAAATCTTTTTCCCTCTCTCAATCTAAAATTTAAAATTATCTTTAAAAAATAAAATTAAAATCAAGAAATTTAAAAATATAAGGGGCGCCAAAACCGGTTTGGCTCAATGGATAGAGTGTCGGCTTGGGGAATGAAGGGTCCCGGTTTCGATTCCAGTCAAGGGCATGTGCAAGAGGCAGCTGATCGATGATTCTCTCTCATCGATGTTTCTAACTCTCTATCCCTCTCTCTTCCTCTCTGTAAAAAAAAAAAAAAAAAATCAATAAAATATATTTTTAAAAATAAATAAAATATATGGTATAATCTACTCTGAAGATGTCCACAGGATATGTGTATATAGATATGTACTAACTATACTGCAGGGCTTGAGTGAAAACAAGCTCAGTTTGTTGATTATAGGCATGAAAGACAACTCATTTTCCTAATGTGTGAAAAAAGCCAATTAACCCGTGTATGTATACTATACAATGATGAACAGAATCATGCACTATGTATACAAAGTATATATATATTACTAGGTGTAAATATGTAATGTTCAGGAAACCAGGAATCATGTGCTTGAGCTATCTGGGAGATTCGTAGGGTACAGGATCATGGTACATGTGGGAAATATACTTGAACCAATTCAAATATCATGCCAAAAGTGACCTAAAATTGTAGTAATTAGTCCCCCCTCCAGGAACAGTATGCTTCTCTCTCCTAAATTCACCCCTTCCTGGTGGTACCTGATACTCGGTGCCATCCGTATCTCTGCCCTCTGCATACATCTGTGGGGAGTCCGAGTTCTCCTGTTGGCCGTCCTGAGCCAGGCGGGTGTAAGGGGTACTACTGCTCTGGGGCATCACACTGTCATCTGTGAGGTCGATGGTGGGGTAGGGGCTCTCTGGGGACGGCCACGGGGTGCCTGCCGACGATGCTGTGCGCCGCCTCAGGGACTGTGGACAGAAAGACACACAGCTTGGGCCACAGCACGCCAGGCGGATGACCAGAGATAAGTGGCACCCAGATTGCCTCCCAGGCAAGCAGAGAAAAGGAAGACAAAGTTAAAGCAGTACAGAGACCAGTAAGAATGGTTTTCCATGACCAAATATTCCTCAAGTGGTGGGAGAAAGCAAAGCCACCCCCATCAAAACAGACCGTTGAGGGAAGAGGCACAGAATGAGTGATGCTCACGTCGAGGCTCGGAGCCCCGCCCAGAGAGGGCCACGGACTTCCTAAGTGCTTACACTGTGTGCCCAAACTTGCAACAGGAGCGGAAAGTTGCTGAAACCCCTGCAGGTGTTCTCAAAAGACAGTCAGTGAAGACACCAGGGAGACAAGAGAGTTTTGGAAGTCAGTGGCTTATAGCTCCTTTCCAAAGGGGGGCAAGAACCCAGTCACCAGGGAATTCTTGCATTCCCACCACAGTTCCATCCGGGATCAGGCCAGAGAGGTCATCAGGCTTTAGAGAAGCTTACCCAGCAACCAGGAGAGAGAGGAAAGGCAAGACCCTGAAAAGCAGAGGAGTGTGAAGAACAGAAGACAGTTAGGGTTAGACACCGGGTACTTCCATGGTGATCTTCCAATGAGAGGTGGGGACAGGGGTCTGGGCATCCGGGAACCAACCCTGGTAGTTGAGATCTCCACTGGGGACTCGTCCATGTGATTACGGCCGGGCCGGCCTCGGGTAGAACGGAGGGAGAGCCTGTGCCTCTCCCGGCCAGAGGCACTGGTGTTATTTCGGGTTCGGACCTGGAAGCAAGAGAGGATAAGCACAAGGCCTTTGGTGACGGTAGGCATGCGGTGTCGCGCTGGGGCCAAGGACTGGGCTCAAGAGGCAGTTTCTGGTGAACAGAAGTGCACGAGGCATGTATGTGGGGATAGAGAAGACTCTAGACTGCCAACTTCCACCCAGACACTCCCCAGCTCATGAGATAAGGGGTTAGGATAGCCAGCAGGGCCGAGGGACAATCCACAGCAGACCCCACTGCCTGTCACAGCTGAAACTGGCACCTGTAAGTTGAATTGAAAAATAAAATCCAAGTTCACTCTTAACGAAACATGTTTTTCCAAAAAAAAAAAAAGCATTAGAATAATTATTGCATTCTTCAGGAAGGTAGTGGATCCTCAAGATGGATGGAAAGCCTTGGGCTTCTTTCTCAAAGTGGCATGACCTGTGTTGCAGACCTGTGTTGCAGACCTGTGTTAGAATCCTACAGAAGAGTTAATGTTGAACCATTGGTAAGTTACCAGAATCTTCTCTCGTCCGTAAAATGGGGATGATACACATCATATCCTAGAGCAGAGTGTTATTATAAACTGAACCTGCAATGGTCACCAAGGGTTAGCCGGCTCTCTAACATACTGGGTTGCCCGAGAGCAAATAGTATCTTCCATCCACAGAACCCACCCACAGAAGTGACTCTCATAGGTAACTGGCACTGAGCCAACCACCTACCAACTCTATCACCCTTGGGCACATCCAAGAGTGTTTTAAGAGTTTAAAAACTACCATCTGAAAGAAAACTATGATATTTCATAAGCCTTGCTATCATTTTTCTACTTTCAAAACCGTTTACTTCTCTTCAAAGTCCCCCTAGGATAGTGGTTGATAAACTCATTAGTCAACAGAGCGACGAGCCGCAGTTTGCCGACCACTGCACTAGGAGATCCAAAACATGTTGTTGTTGTTTTTTACCACAGGCCTATGAGTGGTTTGAGATGGTGCCTTGGCTCAGGGGTGGGACTTACAGCTGGGCTTTCAGACCGAGTCCTGGTTTCCCGGAAGAGTTTTGGCATTATTGGAGTGTCGGAGCCATCTCCGTCTTCCTCATCACCTTCTCCATCACCCGTCAGGTCCTTTATAAATGAAACATGTGCTTCAGGATATCATGAACAGGTTATAAAACCAAAATAGCTTAAAAATGAAGAGTCAATCATATTAAAAGAATATTAATGTTGGTCCAAGAGGCCTAAAAATATCTTCAACTACCTAATTTGGCTCCAAACAAATTTTACAATAGCTCAAACCATAGGATCATGAGTTCAAGACATGAAAGATAAAACCCCAGTGGAATCAGAAAGCCAAAAACATTGTATGATGGCAATATACATGATGAAGACTTCTTTGTCTACGCCTTAGACTATCATTTGTCTACGCCTTGGCTATCCCAAGCAGGGAGACCTGAACCCAGTCTCAACTATGTGGCCTTCAGTGTGTCCATTTCCACCTTTAAAGCGGCACAGAAGCCCTGCCCTGGGTGGTGTGGCTCAGCTGGTTGGAGCGTTATCCCCTACAGAGAAGACTGTTGGTTCAATTCCCAGTCGGGGTACATCCTCAGTGGGGATGTGTATGGGGAGGCAACTGATCAATGTTTCTTTAATACGTTGATGTGTCTCTCTCTCTCTCTCTCTCTCTCTCTCTCTCTCTCTCTCTCTCCCAACCCCCACTCACCAATAAAAACATACCTTCAGGTGAGGATAAAATAAAATTGGAGCAACAGTACTTCCCTTATAAAACAAGAGGGTTATAGCAGCACTGAGAAATTGTCCAGGAAGGAGACTGCATTACTATTACTGGTAACTGCTGACCAAAACAGCTGCCCTGAGCCTCTCATCCAGCACACTGTCCACAGCAGCTGGGAGCCCCCCCAAAACAGAAGCTGTAATAAAGGCCGAGCTTTTATTTATGCACTTTTATCATGACGTTGTCCCTTATGCCTGACACTGGTTCTTTGAAAAAAGTTAACCAAGTTGACAAAACTTTAAAGGATTTAACAAAACAGAAGGCATAAATAATGTCAGGAAAACTGTGACTTGGGGAAAAAAACTGGTCAAGTATAATAGAAACTCTGATATTGCAATGACTGTGAAAAAATTCCCTAGAACAAGCCAGGTGAGTTATTTCCAATGTGCATCAAAACCAGACACAGACAGATTATGAGAAATAAAATCATACATCTAACTCATGGAATAGATGCTAAAACATAAATTCAAAACATAACGTGCCCAAGTTGAAGTTGAACTCATTCCAGGAATAAAAGGACAATTTGCTTCTTTAGGAATTTATCAATTTAAGTAACTGATTATTCAGCTTGAGAAAAAAGTGATTTCAAAAATTACACAGGAAGCAGCTAGTAGGAAACTTCATTATTTGGTAAAATAAACATTTATGATTTTTTTTAAAAACTTGGCATACAACAGCAGCATGTGCCATTCTGAGTGTGAGGTGTTCAAAGTACTGTGTGCCCAGCAGTCCTCAGACTCATCATTCAACAACTACTTGTGGAGCACCCATTTGGGGGGGGCCTTGTGGACCCCACTTAATGAAAGCTTAAGGGGAGTCCGCCTGAATCCTGAAAGAGGGAGTGTAGAGCCCATACCTGAGTATAACTTAGCAGGCTGGAGACCTCTCTCTTGGACAGTCGTGAGCTTGATCTGCGGCCTGTGGAGGGAAGAGAAGTGCAAAAAATGTCTGTTTTGTGGGAAGGGCAGCTCAGGGCTAGTTAGGACCCATGTCTTCCTTTGCTTCCTCTCTGGGCTGATGGGATCTCACTGCTGGCATCCTCAAGGGTTAACGCCTAACCGCTCAGGACCTGTAGTCACCTCCATGTATTCATCAGGCAACAGTGTTCAGGGCCAGGCACATTATAAGATGCAAAACAAAACTAGAGGTTCTCATGAGAGAAGGCATCAAAAATTCCTCCCAGAACTGTGCTGCCCAACTCAGTGGCACTAACTACACTTAGCTGAACAGTCCAGGGCCTCCCCCACCAGCCACAGTTTAAGTGCTCATGTATGGCTCCTGGCTTTTGTAGTGAACAATACAGAAAGAGAACACTGTCACGCGTGCAAAGTTGTATCAGACAGGACAATGTGAGGAGCTGTCAATAACAGGACGGGGCAATACAGGATTTTTTTTAACCATCTGGGTTAGAAAAGCTCAGTGAGGTGGATCCCAGGTCATCTGACCTGGGGAACTGCAGAGGCAAGGAAGGGAAAGGTGGAAAGGAGCCTCAGCCCCTCCAACCCAAGTGATTTTCTTCCCAGTCAGTCCCAGAAGAGCCAAACACCCTAGGCTATGCTGCAACCACACCACCGCCACCCCCCCCCAACTGTGACTGGGCGGCGGGGGGGGGGACCAGGGATGTCGCCTCCTCCAAGTCCCCGCTGAGGTGAGGAGAGGGCGAAGGCCAAGGGCTGTGGCAGGGTGACAAACAGGTTTGGCTCTGCCCACCTATATCCTCCTCTTCCCTTCCCTGGCAGGTCGTTGGGGACCAGACCGTCTCCCCACACAATCTGCCCGCAGCCTGCCCAAAAGGAGGCTCATGTCCCAGCTGCGGTGCAGTGTCTGTGCCACCCCACCTCCCCACAGGCCCGGCCACCTCTGATCTCCGGGGTGCTGATGGCCTCCAAGATGGGGGGTGACGGCGCGTCCTTAGAGTCGGAAGAATGGTTGCTGCAGTCCCCATTGGTGATGATGGAGTCTTCCCTCCCGCTGGCGTCCTCCTCTCTGCCGAGTGGCCTGGTGTCTCCCTTCATTGTTTCCTGTGAGAGGGTCAGAATGGATAGGGTAGCCATGAAGCAAGGGCTAGAGGGGGCAGCATAGCCCCAAGCTGCCCACCTATGGTCCTATGCCCTCGGGCCAAGAGAAGCCCTAGGACATAGGCTCAGGCTGATACTCCTTTCCCAGGACCCCTCCCCGACTGCCCCCATAGTCTGCCCCCCTCACCAAACTCGGAGTCTCAGGTCTTGGTTCCATGTGACCAGGCTGCCCGAAGGCTCAGACGCCAGCACCCAGCAGGCTGGGCCTTGGTCTGAGGCTCAGGCTGCTCTGTGCAATTAGCTGGCCACTTCAAACAATGCCATTTAGTAACCGCCTGCCTCAGCCTTGACTGCCGCTGGCCTTGGTCCCCTCTGCCCCCGGCCCCTTCTCCCTGCCCAGCTTCTGTGGGGCCTCAGGAAGCCAGTGCATTATTTTCCCTCCTGACCCCTTTGTTTGCTCTCTCCCTTTCCCTCAATCTCTAGGTCCTCTTCCCACCGCCCCCTCCTCCCCTACAGAACAGCTTCTCTCTTCTCCATGGCAGCACAAGCCCCGCCCCACCCCAACCTCAGGGACCCATTGGTCTGCTTGCCTGTCACTCTCTCCTCTCCACCCTCACCAGCTGAGGCTGAGTGTCCCAAGTTCCCAGGAAAGGAAGGGATAGAGGAAGCACAGGCAAAGGACCGAAACAGTTAACTGGAGGCATGCCCCCAATCTGCTCCAGCCTTACCCCACTCTGGGCCTGTGTCTTCCTACTGCTGCTCCTCCTGGTAAATGCACCATCACTTACTCAGCTAAGACCAGCTCAGGCCAGGTCTTCACAAATGGGATCAAGGGCTCTGTGACCTTCAACCTGGCCCACCACCTATAACATGTTGGCAGCAAGAACCTGTACCTTTCATTTATCCCTGTCACTGTGGGCCCATTTTATAGAAGAGGAAAACAGACACACAGACCTTACTAATGTTAAGTCAAAGATCCCATCTAAGAAGTGGGGCCAATGCAAAATTAGAGTCTAAGTACAGGGTGAAACCGTCAGACTGATATTTTTTTCTTTCTCTCTTTTTCTTTGTTTAAAATATTCTTAATTTTTATTTTATTTTATTGATTTTTAAAAATATATTTTATTGATTTTTTACAGAGAGGAAGGGAGAGCCAGAGTTAGAAACATCTATGAGAGAAACATCGATCGGCTGCCCCTTGCACCACCCCCCACAGGAAATTGCCCGCAGCCAATGAAATGCCCTTGACCAGAATCGAACCTGGGACCCTTCAGTCCGCAGGTCGACGCTCTACCCACTGGGCCAAACTTCCACCAGTCAGGGTGACTTTGATTTTTTTTTGAGAAATAGATTTATTTGTTGTTCCAGTTATTTATGCATTCATTGGTTGAATCTTATAAGTGCCCTGACCAGGACTCAAACCCACAACCTTGGCTTATTGGGACGGCCTTCTAACCAACTGAGCTATCTGGCCAGGGGTAGACTCCTTAGTTTCCCCAAAACAATTCCAGAAGTATTTGGTAGCACACCTTCATGAGGAAGAACAAGGCCTGGGAAAGCTTCCCCAGCAAATGGCTGCCTGCAGATACTACGGCCCCGAAGCCCTGTCTCAGCCCCAGAGCCCTGTCTCAGGGACTTACCATTTAGTGACAGAATACACAGGAAGCCAGATAACACGAAATGCCCCAGATGACTCACTCTAGCATCCCGGGGTTCCTTCTAGAAGCATCTAGTCTAGTATATAGAGCTGCAGTGATGAATCTGGTGCAGTGCCCACCAGGGGGCGCCGTAAGGCTCAGTCTGAGGGTCCTATAGCGCCCTCAGGCGGATTCCCAATGTCACTGGGAGGGGTTCCCAGATTCCGTCCTCTGCAACTGTCCTTTCCCCAGACATGGGTGTAGGGCAGTGGTTGGCAAACTACGTCGAGAGCCACATGTGGCTCTTCCACAAAATACCACCTGCACGCGCAACTACAGTGCAATTGAAACTTCGCGACCCATGCGCAGAAGTCGGTTTTCGGCTCTCAAAAGAAATTTCAATCATTGTACTGTTGATGTTTGGCTCTGTTGACTAATGAGTTTGCCGACCACTGGGGTGGGGCAACTAGACCTCTGCTGTTCTCCACATGGCCCAAGGACCAGTGCCCTTCACATCACCCGGAGCCAGTTAGAACTGAAGAATCTCGGGCACCATTCCAGACCTACTAAATCAGGACAGACATTTTCACAAGATCCATGGGTGATTAATATGCAAGGTTCTGGCCATAGCTGGTGTGGCTCAGTGCATAGAGAGTGGGCTTGCAGACTGAAGGTCCCAGGTTGGATTCCAGTCAAGGGCACATACCTAGGTTGCAGGCTCAATCCCCAGCCCTGGTCGGGGCATATGCGGGAGGCAACCAATCTATGTATCTCTCTGTTTCTGTCTTTCTTTCTCGAAAAATCAATGTGAAGAAGAAAAAAAGTCCTTCCAACTCTCTAAATAGCTATTAAAAAAATCCTCGTGTGAGGATTAAAAAAAAGAGAGATACTGTTCTGGTTATAAATGTATATACTGATAGAGTACAATGTAATATTTACACACACACACCCATTGGTTCTAGGCTGTGCAGGGTCACAGTTCCTCAACACGTTAAGGAATCTCACCAGCCCCAGGGAAGAGCAATGCCTGACCAGGCCCAATGGGCTGCTTCTCAGTACCTTTCCCTACCAAGCCCTGACCTGGAATTAGCACAGGCTTCCTGACCTATGGCCAGTTCCAGGGAGATCAAACAGGCAGAATCCCAGGAAAACTGCTGGAGTGTGGTTCAAAGTAATAATTCGCTGCCTTTCACTCCAGGCCAAACCAGTGAACTAAGTAACCTGGCAAAAGGCGGGAGGCTGGGCCCCTGAGTGTGAAGACACCAGGAGCCCTGTGGAGGGGTGGACATGGTTTCTGATCAGGAGCTGATAGCAAACCATATGCTGAATCAAAGTGCAGGACTCCTCTCTCATCTGGGGGGACCCCCGAGTTCCCTCAGACAGCTCCTAATGGGGTCAATTAACTAGACAGGCCCAGGTGAGCCTGCTGCCCAGAGCCAGCAATGATTAACCACCTCAGGCTCCCCCCCAGGGCTCAGCACTGCCAACCTGTGCTGCGGGCCTGCCTGGGGGACTTGTGAGCAGAGCACCTTCCCAAAGCCAGGTCTCAGCATTCAGGAAACATCTGCCCCTACAAGCAGATCCATGGGACCTGGAGGAGGAGGATTCAGGGAAGAAAACCAACCAGCTACCTGGCTGCCCCGGGGTGAGCTGGGCAGGTAAAAATACTCTTTCCAGTTGCATACCTAATTCAACGTGATTTCATAAAATATTTGCTCTCTGTAATTTTCATCAGAGGGTTTGCAAGAACATTAACTCCCCTGGCTGCCTTTCTGCCACAACCTGCAGCCAGCCCATTTCCGCTCTCCCTGGCCACATTCTACAGACAGAGCCAGCCTCCAGGTGTGTGCCGCTGCTGACGCCCTTCCATCTCCCTATCGCCTGCCTCCGTATTACTCAGACTTCAGAAACCACATCTCAGAAGCCGGGAAGGTTTCTCCCACAGGCCTTTGCTCCTCAAGTAAACATGCAAACCCTCTCACCTGATAATAGACTAACTTTTTCAGTGCTTACTAGATGCCAGGCATTCTTCTGTGCTCCACCTGTATTAATTCATTCCATCCTTACATGTGAAAAATACTGTTATCCCTATTGCACAGATGAACAAACTGAGACTGACGGGTTAAGTAACATTAAGACATACTTGATCCGTGTGCCTTAAAGTGCCATACTCCAGGGACGTTAAATTAAGAAAATACATGCCCTTGGCAACAGGAATAAATTAGCACCAGGGACTGGTGGTTAAGGTCAGATACACACCTCCCTCACCTCATCCCATGTATCTCAGTTTGGCTTCTGGTGATTCAAGATAGGCCTTTTCCAGAGAAATGTGTTCCTCCAACACAAGCCAACTGCTTTATCTGGTGTGATCGTGCCAGGGCAGAGAAGAAAAATTGGCTGGGCTACCTCCTAGAAAGAGGTGGCACCTTCCTATGAGACTTTTCCAGAATGACTGGCATACCAGCTTTCCAACTGCACCTCGTCGTCCCACTGCTGTAGAACAGTTCCCCAGTTCCTACGTCAGCAGAAGGCAGCACAAACATCTCTCCTCCTGTACCCCATCCTGAGGCAGGTCCTGTTATCCATCTGCTCTCAACAGGCTCAGATTAATTAAGTCACTCAACAAAGTGGCAGCACCAAGACTCATGCCCAGGCAGTGCAGGGCACGTGCCTGTAACTGCTGTACAGGAAACAGGGCATGGAGAATATGTTATAAAGTTCTAACAATGCATCCTCCATCCCAGGAGCTATATAGGTTGTGTGTTTTTTGGTGTGGTTTTTTTTTTTTTTTTTTTTTTGGCTGAGGGACATGATATACCAACTGAGTGTTTAGCCTGACAGGAGGTGGTGATCTAACCTTCTGAGGCAGGGTGAACTCTGACCCTTTCCCAGAGGCTGGGGTCCAGCACGTGACTGAGGGGTGTGCAGCCGAGCGAGGTGGGCTCCCCCTCAGGGTTCTTCCCGCAAGGCCCTGCCTCATTAGTGAAAATGCGTGTGTTCAAACCGAACCAGGTCAGATGTGTCCAAATGGGAAGTGGCAGACGCGAGGATGAGTGGCACCACCAATTAGACCCTGGGAGGAGGCCCACGAACTCCCCCCGCCCCCCAACCTTCTATAAAGAAGAGAAGTGATGTCATTCATTTCCTGCAGGCTGGCAGCAGCACCTTGTAAATGTTAATTGCATTAATTAAACTCACAATGCAGAAAGGGAGGCCGGAGGGCATGACTAGGAAGTGAGACTCTGAAATAAAAAGGGAGAGGTTGGAAGAGATTAAAACCTATGGGAGGGGGATCCAGCCTTCTGAATCTCCCCTTGAAGGGCTCAGGTCTTTTTTAGCTGTTCCCACAGTCCAAGATTCCAGAAAAGCAGCAGAGATGGACCACTCAAGAAAAGCAAGCTACTTCTGACTGCATCTCAGAGGAAGCAGGTCAGCAGACCCCCTGTCCAGGCTCACACAGCAACAAAATGATGAAGATTTGGGCCTCATCCAAGGAACAGAACTGGAAAACATCTTTAAAACAATGTGGCAACTATAGTTATAAAGCTAAGCCCAGGGAAGAACACCACCCAGGTGTGCGTAGAGGAGGGGGGGGGGGGGGGGGGGGGGGGGACTAAGTAGGAAGGCAAGAGGGCCAGAAAGCAGAGCACAAGGTCCCAGTTCACTGCCTTTGCTTGATCAGGAAATAACCCCTAAATTCCAGGAGAGAACAGATTCACAGGAAAGCAAAAGCCTCCAATGTTGTTCTCAAACTCCAGTGTTATATATCATCTGTAAAATGAAGTGACCCTGCCTAATTAATTTCCTGGGTAATTGGTGCTCAGGATCCCAACGTAGGTGACAAAATCCTGAGACATGGAAATGACGCATTCTCTATGCCATCTTGCCAGACTTCTCAGCTATGCCTCACACAGAGCAAAGTATCGCTTCATCCCTGATGACTCAGAAGGCATTTGAGAATTGCTCAGTGCCTCTAGGTCTCTGTACAGTAAACATCGGGCCTTAAAATATTTATCAGAATTATCAGAAGGATTAATCCCGCCTTAGCCAGTTTGGCTTATCATTGGGTTTGACTCATCATTGAAGTTTCTGTCTCTCTCCCTCTCCCTTCCTCTCTAAAAATAAATTTAAAAATTTTTAAATATATTTTTATTGATTTCAGAGAGGAAAGGGAGAGGAAGAGAGACAGAAGCATCAATGATGAGAGAGATCAATGGTTGGCTGTCTCCTGCACACCCCCTACTAGTAATCAAGCCAGCAAACTGGGCCAAACCGGCTAAGGCTTAAAATATTTTTTGAGCCCTAACCGGTTTGGCTCAGTGGATAGAGCATCAGCCTACAGATTGAAGGGTCCCAGGTTCAATTGCTGGCCAAGGGCATGTACCTTGGTTGTGGGCACATCCACAGTAGGGGGTGTGCAGGAGGCAGCTGATTGATGTTTCTCTCTCATTGGATATTTCTAACTCTTTCTCCTTCTTCTCTGTTAAAAAAAAAAAAAAAAATCAATAAAATATTTTTCAAAAAATATTTTTTGAAAAACCGAAAAGTTACCTGGTGATAGGGTAACAGGTTTCAGGTCTATCCACCTCAGCAGTGGTGCGGCATAGCAGGCCTGCAAACAAAGCATCTCAACCCAACACGTCTGTGCATCCTACCAGTTCTGTGGCTCCAAGCCCAGTGGAGACTAGGGTCTCAAAGAAATTTAACAGCATTACAACCAAGATTCTTCTCCTCGCTAGCTGTGTGGCCTTATTAATGGTGACTATTTAATATTAGAGCAATAACGTGTTGATATTTAATATAACTGTGTTTCTAGCTCCTCACATAACATCCAAGGACAGTTCAAGACACTGGGAAAGGCCATTCTTACCCATTCATCAGATAGGAGGTTCCTGCTAAGCTTCAGAACCATGCTCAGCACTGAGAATCAGAGGCAGATGAAGGCCAGACAGCCCCTGTCTTCAAGCAGCTGCCAGTGGGTTCAGAGAGGGTGTAGGGAAAAGAAAGCTAGGAGACAGTTAACGATAATAACAAGGTTGGTTCACTCCAAAATCTACACTATTCTTAACACTACAGATACCCTTTTGCCAAGAGCTCAGGATGAGATTCTACACATTTGCTCAGAATTTTCCAAATCCTACTACCCAGTTGCACACTGCCTCCCAAGTAACCCAAGAAAACCCAGAACAACCCCGAACATCTGCCTGTTCAGGCATCCAGCCTAGTTCACACTCCACTTCTCACCGCATCCCAGGTGAGCTGGTTTCCTTCCTGAGGGTTCCATTGCTGCAGCTACATGGCACTCGGAGCAATGCCCGCTTTTGCTGCTTTAGCCACGTTACAGTACACAGCCAAGGAGCCAGGTGCCAGGGGCCCAGCACGGAGCTGGCTGCTGGAAAAACTGGCCAAGCGGCATTATCCCTTCTCCAGGATCTGGAGGCCAGTGAATGCCTGGGAACCAGCCCCAGTGGTGGCCCAAGCATGTTTACTTGCAACAGGGAGCAAACGCAACTGGAAACAAATATGCTACTTAGGAAGAGGCCCAATTAACCTAACATGGGGCTGCAGGGAAGAATGGAAAAGAAATAGGGCGCCCCCCCCCCCCCCGCCCCTGCCACATCCCCCTTCTCCAGCCTGTTCTAGAGGCAACCAGTCCTCCACCCAACATGCAACAGGGGAAGACTTCTGAAGGCAGACTGAGACCTCCTCTGCCCTCCTAACTCTCCCCCCACCCCTGCAGTACCCTTCCCCTGCTGCCAGGCCTGTACCTCCTAGGCAGGGCACCAGAAGATCCCTCTGCTCTGGGAAATAAGACAGACCCAACAGCCAAGAAGCTCCTTCAGACCTTGGGAAACCAAGACAAGTTCAAGGCATTGTCTCACAAAGAAATCCTTCAGTACTCAAGTTCCAGACAATTTTGGTTGCTCTCAAATACGAGGATAGTTTGAACAGTAAAACAAACAAACAAACAAAAAACACAACTATATTCAGAAATAAATCTTAGAACCAGGAGGTCATGGTTCGATGCCTGGTCAGGGCACAGGCCTGGGGGGTGGCAGGCTCCATCCAGTAGGGGGCGTGCAGGAAGTAGCCAACAGATGATTCTCTCTCATCATTGTTTCCATTTCTCTTACTCTCTCTGAAATCAACAAATGATCACTGAAAATTCCACCAGGCCAGGAGATGCAATATCTGAATAACAATTACAGAATGAGAGGAAGAAGGGGGGGGGGGGGGGAAATAAACACAAGGAAGATTATGATCCAAGAAAATTTATTCCCTCAACTTTAAGATAGGATCCCCTGCCATGTTGGGCCTTCCTCCCTCCTCTCTCCACGCCCTCTCCATTCACACATCTGATCAGCATCAACCTGCCCCAAAAGGAATGTTATTGGTTAAGAACCTTTCCTCACTGACAACTGTTTATCTCCCTCCCACCCATCCACTCAGGCATTTTTTAGAAATGCATTTCTAATTTCCTGCTCATAAATCTTTTCAATGGCTACCGCTCTTCCAAATTTCAAAGGCTGTAAAAGACAATTTTCTGGAAGTTTTAAGTTTAATTCTTATGTCGCAAAACTAAAAAGCAGAGTGGTTGGGGTGTGGGGAACAGGCAGGGATTTGCAAGGGCAGAAGCCATAGGCCGCACTGAATGAATGGACATTTCTGTGGGTGATGTGACTTAAGCACTTTGGTCAGGCAAACTGGTCAAAGCTTTGCGGATTCCAAAGAATCTCTTCCCACTGGTACCCAGAACTGCCTTCCCTCAGGCCCACGGTGACAGCAGAGCCGTCTAAATCTAAGACTTCACCCCTCTTCCCCACCTGTCCTTTCCTGGGGTTCGTGTCCCTTCGCGTAGGTAGGGCTCCTGGCCCCGACTGCATTGTTCTCCATGCTTACGAGTAGCAGAGGCCCCAAGACAGAAGCAAAGCATGAGGTACCTTGGGACGAGCTCACAGGTGATGACCAGAAGGTGAATTTGACTTTCATTTGCATGAAACACAGTGAATATCATTTTTTGAAATATTCAAATTCTCTGCACAAAACAGTCCCCAAATTCTTTATTACCTGGAAAACTGGTGAATGCTAACTAACCGAGACTGCATTTCTTTCAGGAAGTGAATCATAACCACTTACCAATCTTTTGAGTGTTTACTACATAAGCAACTCAATTTATTTAAACTTCAATATCCCTGGGATTGGCCAATTCCCCTATTTTTCAGGTGGAACAACTGAGGCTCAGGTCACTGGTTTATAAATGAAACAAATAGGACTCTATATCAAACGTCAATTTCAAAGCCCAAACCCCTTTAGTCTATTGTCTGGGACAAATAACATGACCCAACAAATACAGAATCTTTACAATATTTAGAACCCCCTTCTTTCCCCCCCCCCCCAACTTATTGTGAATGAACAACTACAGTTGCTAAGCTAAAAGGCCCCTAGATTCCATTTAGTCCTCCTAGGCACTCTACTGGGTAGGTGTGTGCTTGTACCCATTACACAGATGGAAACAAAAATCAACAAAGGGAGGGTTTTAAAGAGCAGGATGCGCTCAGCAGCCCTGTGTGCAGGCTTCCTCTGCCATTTTCCAGGCATGTTCCCTCCCCAACTCTGTCCTGCGATAGTGGCAGATGTAAAAGCATTCTGAAAAAAACTACCAAATTTTGAAAGTGACTGGGTATCCCAGGCCCTCAGTCCCCTCAGCTGCAAACGGGGCCCAGTGAGAGCATCACATCCCCAGAAGAGATGCAAATCCATTCACCATTTTACAAAGAGGGTGGTCTGCAAGGAAAAGGAGGTATTCTGGACTCCTCCAGTTTTGGCCCACCTAGAAACTGAAAATCAAGTGCATGCTTTTATTTTTAAAAACTTGCTAACACAAGGGCATGGCTGAACTGAGGCCCTGTACCCACTATTCAGGACTCTGGGGAAGAGACACTTGCCATAGGGTAGGACCCCAAGTTTCAGATTTAGCCAGAACCATCTCAGATGAAACTGGAAAAGGGGTCTGAGCCTGGAGGTGCCGCAACTGACATGAGAGCTGGCCTGAGACAAAGGACTCAATCTCAAGGTTAAGTTTCCCCAGAAGAACTTGCCCAAACCCAACATCAGAAGCCGTCTCTGGGGTTGCAATAAGGGGCAACCGGCACTTCTGGGTCACAGGCTCCCCACGTGGCTGGAGGAAGGGAAGAAAGGGAAGCAGCATCCCCCAACCTCTTCTCCCTCGCTCCTCCCCTTAGACCCCTGCAGCTCTTAGATGCTTCCCCCGCCCCCCCCCCCCTTTTGCAAGGGGAGAAGATTATGCCCATGGCTTTAAGAAGCACGATGCAGCTAGCCCAACCTGGCCCCTTTGTCTCAGCCCTCTCCAGCCCAAAGGGGCAAGGTAAAGGAACTTCCCTAGCTTGAAATTAAGAATTCAAGGCCCCAAGCTGCGGGGAGGAAGATGGGCAGTTTAAAATGTCCCCAACCCATTCAAAGAAAAAAGAAAAAAAAAACATGACTCCTTTCAAAAAGGAACAAAGACTCCTTCCTGCCAACTCCCAAATCAAGGATGATGATTTGGAAAAGCTTTCATAAGTTAACAGGAATACCTTGGTGGAGGGAGACAGGAAAGGAGGGGCCAGTAGGGGGGGCCTCCCCTCATCCTCATTTTTATTAATGGTTACCCTTAAAAGAGGAGCTACAGATGTTAATATTCACCACCTGCTTTGGTCAAGCACTATCTCATTGAGTCTCCACCCAAGCCTAATACGGTATATGATAGGGACTACTCCACCCATCAGGAGCTTTGGTGGTTAGAGGTTAAATCACTCAAACTGGCTTCATTTACACAATCTGGGGTTATTTTGCATGTTCCCATTTCACAGAATAGCACGGACACAGAAAACAATGGATTTACTGGGGGCAGATTTAAACACTGGCCAAAGATTCATGCATCCCCCCTCCAAAAACACACACACACACACACACACACACACACACACAAAAAAAAAAAAAAAAAAAAAAAAAAAAAAAAACAGGGCAACCTGCTTAGCCCAGGTGCTAGATAATGATGCCAACAGTGGCAAACTTTTACTGAGGGATTACTGTATGCAATTTTTATCAAAATGGTACCACCATCTCGACTCCAGAAAATAATCAAGTCTTGCACCTGGGGAGGCCAAGGGGCCTCCACTCAAGAAGCAAAGCAGGCCTCCGAGAGGGCAGAGGCTGGCCGGCCTCCTGGGCACTTTAAGTGAGAGCCCCAGCAGGAATTTGCTTCCCAAAAACAATTGCCACCAGTTGGCCAAAAAAACAAAAACAAAAAAACACAGCATCCAGAAGTCAGGAGGTAGGTCAAGGTTTATACTGTCTTTAATTCTGTTTCATTCATGAACCTCTGGGCTTGGGGGAATGGGGAAGCAGGTGGGGGGAGGTGGAAGCACAAAGGCCCAGCCTACCCTCTCCGCCCAGGGGATAAAGGAAGGAGGCAGGCTGGAAGCACAGGCCTGGGGCTGGGCCCGGCACTCCGGCAGCCTCTCCCGGCCACAGGTGAGTAACTCCAGCAGGAAAAGCTGGGCCCCGGAGCTGCTCCTTGTTGCTAACTTGCTAAGTCCGCCCTCCCGTCTTCCACCTTCTCACCTGTGAAGTGGGGACTCAACATCCACCTTCCCTCACCCAACAGTCACCCCGGTAAAGAAGCCTGTCCTCTGGGAGGTGGTGCTAGAGAGCAGCCTGGAGGCCTCAGCGTACAGGTTTGGGAAGGGGGACCGGCCTCATTCCAGAAGAGGGGTAAAAGGAATGGAAAGTGAGCCCCCAGGGCAGGCAGTGGCCAGGCAGGGAGGCGCCGCCCCCAGGCCGCTCCTCCCGGCCAGGTGTGCGCTGGGAGAGGGCAGCCTCCCCTCCCCCGGACCCCCCGGGCATCCCTGCAGCCCCGCCGCGCCTCACCCCCCGTGGTTCATCCAGAGAGGACCCGGGAGCCCGCCCCTCCCTCCCGGCGGCGAGCACACCCCGGCCCACCTGCTCGCCGGCACCCATCCACACACACAACCCTTCTTTCCTACCCCTCGTGGGGGAAATAAAACAAGTTCTCTCAGCTGAACCCCCAGATCCAAGTCCCAAGAACGGACGCCGGATGCCCAACTCCTAGGCAGAACTGCCCTCTGTTCCGCTTTCCCCTCTCCCAGGAGGATCCCTCCCAAGCCGAAGCCAGGTAAGGGCACCCCCTCCCGCTGAGCCCCCCTGTTCTCTACGGGGACACCCCTTCCACCCGGCTCCAGACCCCAGGAAGGCCGCCCGGTGTTCCGCCCTCGGAATTAACTTCTCTCCTCGGGGACTTGGGAATCCAGCAAGGGTAGCCCTTCCCCTCGGATCCCGGGGAGACACACACTCCGCCCTGCACCCCGCACCCCCTGTTTTGCCCTCCTCGCGCGCTTCCCCCCCAAGGAGGGCCGGGGATCCTCTCCTCCCCTCGCGCGCCCGGTCCCCGGCCGGACGGGAGCCGCTGTCCCGGCAGACACCCCGGACAGGGCTCCTCCTCGCCGT